CCACATGTAGCATGTAGCGTGCCCCTTTAAGCAATGGTAAAAAAAATCAAAATGACAGAAAGGGAGACATGACTCATTTCATGTAACAACAGAGATATCCTACTTTTCCTTCATTTTTTAGAGGAAACAAACAAGCAAACTGGACCGTGGCATTCATTTAAATTATTAACTACAAGGACAAATATTTCTTTTTAGTCATGTGTCATTGAAGTAACCTCTTAAATGTTGGACTTTACCCATGTAATACTTTATAGCAGCATATTTATAGCTTTAATGAATCCATGCTTCCTCCACATCAGTTTACTTTTTGACTTTAAGACTATAATGCACAGTGTTTATCCGATCATTTCTCTGCTTCTTATAAATATTAAAATGACAAATTTTCACAGTCATTATTACAGAGAACTGATTCCAGCTGTAGTTTAAACACAATACCACCCCTGTAAAATTGCCAGATCATTTACAGATGAAAGTGCATGTGTGAAAGGGGCCTTTGTCTGTGGCAATTTGAGCATGTTAATGATCCATGCAGGACGGCAGAGGAACTGCTCATGTCCAAGCCTTCTGGCTATTTCCTCATCAGAGTCAGTGAGACCAGGATTGGCTACTCTCTCTCATATCGGTGAGTGTTTGCAGGATTAAAGTAGCTTTATGTATTCATTTTTTACATACTCAGGCTAACAGTCCCAAGTCCTTTTCACTCTTGTGCACTGACTCCTCAGTGCTGACGACCGCTGCAGACATTTCATGATTGATGCATTGGAGGATGGCCATTACATCATAGTGGGGGAAAACAGGCGTCACCGATTTCTGCAGGATCTTGTGGACTTTCATCGTAGAAATCCCATCATGCCTTTCACTGAGGTGCTGACTGTTGCTTGTGGACAGGTGAGGGAATGTCTTTATTACCCTACCTGCATACAAATGCCTGAACTGAACGGTTATTCAATACATCATAGGTTTGTGTGGTTTGTAGGTTCTTGTTTTATTTCTTGCACTCACCATTGGCTTTATTTTTAAGTTAATAATCTGAAGTTAACTCAGTTCAACTGCACCAATTATAATATACCATCTGTACTACATATTTGCTTTGAGGCATTTACTGTGCATGCATTTAGAGCTGAAACGTTTCCCTAACTTTCTGATACCACAATATTTGCTTATTTGCTTGGCACCTGCACACCAAAACAATCACAAAATGGATCGTGTTCTGTCTCTTTCTCTCTCTGTCTGATCTTATGTAAGTCCTCAAATGACAAGACAGACTACGCAGAACTTCTGTTTCCCCAAAGACATCCAAAACCTAACGCCAGTTTGCCACAAAACAACTTCCTGCAACTCAACAGGAGCCACCCAGAATCACAAGAGGAGAGTACCCCACCTGCCCTTCCTTATCGACCAACCAACCTGATCAACTCCACAGTCCAGTTTCCTAGCAGCCAGCCAAACAGACTTTACCCAAGTTTAAATGAAGAATTTCCACATGTCGCCTCCCCACTTCCAGCCAAGGTAATAATGACTTTAGTAAACTGTTAAAATTCAAAGATAAACAAACATGACATGATTTTTTCATTGAATCCAGATTCCTGTTAGTAATTAACAAGATGATGGATCCAGTTTTTTTGAAGAATACATCTTAGTGTGAAGAGATTTTTATTCATGATGACTAGGTTTGACTTCTCTTTTGAAATCACAGAAATGTCCTGTATAAATTTTCAAAGGGAAGATTTAAAGACCCTGAAAACATTTCATCAGTGTTTTGCTATGAGAGATTTCTATATTTCGGTTATTGTCTCATTGTCTTGGTTATTGTTATCATCTATTGTTATTGTCTTATTGTTATATACAGTAACTTTATCTTGAGTGTTGCTTATTTAGTTGTGATTATTCAATATTTAAGAGAGATTTGAAACCACATTTTCAGTGGCTTTAGCATTCAAATGCAAGGAGTCCTTTTATTTTCTAACAAATTTCTACTCTATATGCTTCTTGTTTATGACCTCAAGCCTATGCCAGTGACCAGGAAGAGATATACAGCAGACAACCCTCCACCCAACCAGCCTCCTGAAGTCCCCGCTCGGAGTTGTCTGCCTCCACTGAAGCAGAACCAAGCTTGTGTCAGAACAGTCTCTGCACCTCAGAGTCCCTCCACAGCCATGGCCACTGAAGTGAAGCCATCGGTTGTCACCAACCTAAAGAACCTTAAGAAGAAATTCCAAAAGAAGAGAAGCACATCGCAGGAGCATATGTACACGGAGATCGATACGGAGGCGACTGACAGGGGTGGAAATGCAGATAATGAGTACCAGGAGATCACACAGGAGGAGACCTTCAACAGTGCGCCATTTTCCTACATTCACAATAATGTGCCGCTGACTGATGGAGCGTTACCTCAAGAGTACCTACCACCTCCTCCTTTTGCACCAGGCTACTGATACACAACTGCTGCCTCAGAAGAAAATAACCTGTAGATTGACAGATAGCTGGACTGAAATCTCCTGAAACAATGTTACATAACTGAGTCAAACCAAAGACGGTGTATAATGTGCACACCCAACCCCAAGTGGGTACAAATACAGGGCAGAAAAGCAGCATACAATTAAAGGAGAGGTGGTCTGCACACTGAATATTGAAACCTCAGAAAAGATAAATAATGCATGGTTTCACCCTTCAAAATGTGTGTTCACATGGATGATAATGTGCCGGACTACTGTATATCTTGGCAGGAAGCAGTGAAGTGTACGCTGGATGCTTGCTAACCTCACGGTAACAACAAGGCTACGGGAAGTGACTGGTCCCATGTAGCCAAGAGACAGTCTGGCTTCGGACAGAGCCTGTCACCCTGTTGCCAGTATTTGTGCTAAGCTAAGCTAACTGCCTGCTGGCTATAGCTTCATAAAATAAAAATGAAAGTGATATCTTTTCAAGGCAAGAAAGCAAATAGGTGTTTCTCCAAAATATCAAACTATTCCATTAAACTTCGGGGAGCTGCAATGTACGGTGTGCAAACTACTTCACCTTTTCCTGTACATACCTTAAGCAAAGCTGCTGACAGTTGAACGTTGTTGAACATGTACAATTTAATGCAGTTACTTTTCCCCCCACAAAGTTAAGGCTATAAAATTATATATAAAATAGATTAAACTGCTTTCCATATGTGACAGTAATTAGTGCCAGTGACTTGTGGATGCTTTATTTTTTTCTTTAATGTTCATTATTTCAACAAGGAGAGTAGTAATAAACATTGTCACATAAGAAAAAGCAGTGCACTAAATGTAATCTATATAGGCATCTAGCTGAAGCTCATTTGCGGCCCGCTTTTCTGGTTAGGCTTTTAAATCCAGCTTAAAAATTGGTGCATGTGTCCTTTGTTATGTAATAAAGCACGAGAAGACTGCAAGAGGAAGTTTTATCGAGCCCTTATTGGTCTTTATCTTTTATAACGTCACTAGTTTCATGCAGCGTATGTAAATCAGAAATGTTACAGTTAATGTCAACTGCTTTGAATACAGTGCATGCACATTGTAGCATCAGATGCAGATCTGTTATCAGCAATGTGACAGGGAAGCTGGAGCAGAGAGAAAAGGCAGATACTGGCCAAACTTGTTTGACAAGCAGAACCTAACAGGCCTGTCAAATTCACTTTCACAGTCCTTCTGGACACGGAGTGGGTATTTCCCCAAACACATCATTTCAATGTTACTGAAAATGGCCATGTCATGCCTTTGTCATGTACTTTCAATAACTAGAGAGACCTAGAATTACCTAGACTCTAGGTAATTCATAATCCTCTCTAGGTCCTAGACAATGTGGTGGCTACAATATTTGACATTTTTGTCATGACTTCATAATGCAAAGCATGTAATATTGTTATACGACTGAGTTAATAAAGCACTTTAAAAATGTTCAATCGGTATTGGTTTCTAATGTTGTTATGACTGTTTTGCAGTCCTTTGTTTCACAGCACATTATTATCACGCATTGTACAGTAGACAAACCAGCAGGACAAAACATTTTATTCACCCATACTGGGCATTTACATGCTTCCTGTTTCTGCTTTACCTCTGTGCAGTTCCTCCTTTTTCCTTCACATGACTTCTCACACTGAAATTTGCATGTTACGGCTTTGGTAAAAATGTAACAAAATGGCTTCAGTGATGTCCTGATAGCTCAAAGGTCTGGCATGCATGATGTTGTAGCCTGTGATGACGTGGATTTGAATCATGCCATGGGCCTTTATCATATGGAAATCTCTCTCAGTCTTTTCTGCGTCAGTTTACTGTAAATGTTCTCAATAAGGTGTCAATAACAATTCAAGAGCCATATGAACCCTTTCCTTCTTTTATTAGCAAATGGTATGTTGTTTATGTTTTAATTCAAACATTAACCTCAAGAAATTTCAGCCTAATGAGTCAATAGTTCAGATCATGGTTGTCAAATCAGTCCATATCAAAATAGAGTACTTGTCTCATTACAGACTGCCATCTAGTGGCAGGAAACAACATCAGCTACTCTTATAAAAGTAGCAGTTCTAAGTCTGCTTTTACATTTTTACTAAAACCAATGCATCACATTAAGTCTGTATTTTAACAATTGAAGTGGCGTTGAAAACTCCAATATTTACAACATTACAGAATGGATTTTTCCAGTGTCTCTTTTTCAATGAGGAAGATGTCATTTCAAGAATTTACAACTAGTTAACAGCACTTTTTTGTGGAAAATCCACTTAAAACTGTATATTCTGTCAATGAGACTTTATGAACTATGCAGGATCACAAAACAGGTCACTAGAGGCCATTCCCTTTTAAGGAAAACGCCAAGCCTTGCCCCTGGACCCTTGGGCAGTTTGATTTGTAACGCGTGTCCTTACAGAGTGAGTGGGGCAAGCGCCAACAATTAAACACCGCCCTCCCTCGCTACCCCGGTGCAACAAAACGCGCATGGCTGATCCGCTGGGAGGCGAAGTGACGTCATATTGGAAGCCTTTGGTTGGTTTCCAGCCAGGTATCATCCCGCTGTTACACACTAGAGATATAGGAAGTTGTCCCAACGCTGAAAACCTTAAATTTGATATTCATAGCAGTGAGCTTCTACGTTTTATTTTAGCCCAAATATCTTAGTAACACCATGGCTTTCGTCCCAGGACAGCCAGTGACTGCTGTTGTGGTAAGTTTGGGAGTGGGACTGTTTCCATTCGACGGGAATCTATTGTTCAGCTCCTGCGAAGGGCGTTAACGTTAAACGTTGCTACACACTGAACTAACTCGTGTTAGCTTTAGCTATGTAACAGGCTCACTAGTTATCTACATTAAAATTACTGTAACATTACTGTCTTTGTTTAGCCGAAGTTACCCACCAGTAGTCACATAGTAGCATAATAAAACGTCAGTTTTCAACCAGATAACTTGTTAAACGATTGCATCAGGAAATAGACCCTGGAAATGTGATATAAAACATAGCTAACGTTTTGTTGCTGTCTATTAATAAGTTTTCAACCAGATAACTTCTTAAACGATTGCATCAGGCAATAGACCCTGGAAATGTGATATAAAACATAGCTAATGTTTTGTTGCTGACTGTTAATAAGCAGACCTGTAGATGTATCTACAGCCATTTACTTCTACAGATGGACGTCGTCCATGCAGAGTTACAAAATATATAAAACACAATTCTTGCGCTGCCTTCAAATGCTGCAGGAGTTTTAACAGTTGGAATTAGACCTTTATGATCTATCTAAAGAAGTGGTAGATGATGACTGGGATTTTGCAAGGGAGATGAGAGCGAGCAGTGTGGACCAGTTAAGTGTTAGTCTGGTTCAGTTCGGTCCAGTTCCACTCTATAGCTGCAAAGAATTATTTTGTTTATTAATTAACTTGTTGTCGGAGTAGTTGATTAATGGGTTTATCTATAAAATGTCAAAAAATAATGCCTGTCACAGTTTTCCAGAGCCCAAGATGAAGTGATCAAATTGATTTATTTTTTCACCAGCAGTCTAAAACCCCAATATATTAAATTCACCATAATGTAGAGCTGCAAATTCTCAGTATTAAGATGTTGGAAACAGAGATTTGCCATTTTGCTTGGTAATTAATAATGAATCAATCAGAGATTGTTTCTAGTCTATTTTCTGTCATTTAATTAATCAATTTATGTCCAATTGGTTTGGCTCTAGTCCACTCTTCATAGCAAGAGCTCTAGATACTTAAACTGAAGTACCACTGTGTCAGTTGATCTCTGACGTAAACTATGCTCAAGCATGGTCTACATTTGTCACAGATTTCTTTTTTCATTATTCTTCTGGCCAGAGACACTTGAATGTTAAATAGGTGATATCTAGCTCTACCTATTAAAACTCAAAATGTTTGCACTTCATTGCAGGCTTTAGTTGTCATGTCAGATGCTTATTTCGCTATGTTGTTTCCTCAACATCATAGAGTGAGGTCAAACCATAGACAGACAAGCAGGATTTAATCTCCATCAGCTGTTTAATCAGTGTCCCCCCTTCACTCCACATTTAGAAATAGACTTAAATATTGATATATAAGTGATATCCTATTTATAGTTTGTCTAGTTATTAGGGTAACAGAGTTATGGAAGGTCTACAGTTCAGGTTTTTAATCCTTTTTTTGACAGGGAGACAGAAATATGTTGTAATACCAGCAAGTACTGACTGACTGACTCTCACTCAGTAATAACAGAGCTCCAGACATCCTCAGACTTCACTGTATCAGCCACACCACTGAGAAACTGTCTGGTTATTCATCATCAGACACACAGGCAGTCATTGTTTGGAGGAGTGTTGTGATGAGTCCTACTGTCAGAGTCCATCTGGTTTCATGAGCCTGCAGCTGCTTGTCAGTGTCAAGGGCAGGGCCGTACTATTAAAGTCTCTGTGTCCCAGTGTGGACTTCAATTACTAGGGAACAGACTCTGAAATCCACCATTTGTCATGCACTGAAATCGGGTAAAATATGTCTGTGGTGTATAAATCAGTGCCTCATTGCCTCACAGGATTGTAACTTGGCTGTATGCCGAGTTATTTTCCTGTTTCCTGTCAAAGCATCATGCCAATGAGAATTAAGATCAAAATATAAAACATTTTATTTTGTCCTTGAACTGTGTTTTCAGTACTGCTGTACTTCATGATGATTTTACAAACGGGATCTTTTATATAGGTCAGTGTGCATACATTGTGTAAATGAACAGTTACAGTTATAGTTAATTACAGATAAGCCACGAGAACATCCAGAATGATGCTTGGTTTTTGAAAAACCTAACAAATTTTTTTACTTTTATTGTTTGAGACTGAGATTTTAAAAGTGTCATAGTGGACTATGACATCTAACTGATACAAACTGGAGGGTTTTCAATCTACAAGAACAGTAATGTACAGGAACTTGTCTTGGCGACAGGATAGAGACAATATTGATTCAGTTATGCCACGCTGATAGACCAGCAGTTCAGATTTCTGACATATGTGAACACTATCAGTAAACCAGAATCTAGTACCGATAGTGTCCCTGAGCAGGAACTTGTCACTGTTATGTGTGCTTTTAAACTTGCTGGTTAGTCCCTGTGAGGAAGGATCTGATTTTGTTTTTTTTTTGTCGAACAGCAACGTGTTGAGATCAAGAAGTTGCGGCATGGAGATAATCTGATCCTTGGCTTCAGCATCGGTGGAGGGATAGACCAGGACCCTGGGCAGAACCCTTTCTCTGAGGACAAGTGTGACAAAGTGTGTGTGTGTGTGTGTGTGTGTGTGTGTGTGTGTGTGTGTGTGTGTGTGTGTGTGTGTGTATACACATCAGCTGTGTACTGTAATTTTATGCAGCACATGGTGCATTATTATTATTTTTATTATTATTAGTAGTAGTGGTTGTTTTAGTAATACAACAAAGAGAAAACAAAGTTCATATTTATACATTTATCAAGATATTACTGATATGTGACAAATTTGGTGCAAAATCACACAGTAAAAAGTTAAACTCATGTTACCCACAAACAAAATCCTGTAATTAAAAAAATATCATCATATTTAAAGCTACAATATGCAAGCTCTGGAGTTCAAACTAACCCTAGCACTAGCATGAAACTTGTAAGCAAAGACCGTTGTGTTTGCTGTCTCAGATAATACAATACACAATACAGTACATGCAGCACAGAAAACTAATTTTTTAGTTCACGTTGGTCAGAGGCAGCAGTAAAGTTGATTCTGGGATGTGACTTTTCCCTGGATCTCTGTTGAAGCACAGTGGTACTGGAGCAGTATTTTGATGAGATATACCAGAGGGACAGGCCTGAACACATTACCTGTAGCCTGAGGTGGGAACAAACCAGACCCACCTAACTCAGGAAGGAAGGAATACTGCAGGTTTACACAAAGTCACATCTCACTTACTAACTGTATCTTCGCTGTGAGCTGAGAGTGAGATGGAAATGTGCCAACACATACCAGGCACTACCACTTACCTTGTTACAGAGGAAAAGTAACTGGCTTCTACCTTTTGACCTCTCCCCATTTCCTTTTAGGTGTTCTTGATATATTTAAAAACATGTAGTAACTTTCCCTTGGGTGTCATTTTTCTCCTCGATACCACAGATCAACACTTATCCTCAAAAGAACTAAGTGTCTGTTTCCTACAGTGCTGAAATGATTAGTTGGTTGTTCAATGAGTTGATTTTATTAAAAAAAGTAATTTATCAAGAAGAAGGCCATTGGTGTTAGTTCCAGCTTATCAAATGTGAGACTTTGCTGCTTTTCTCTGTTGTATATTTTAGTAAATTTAATATATTTTGACTCTTGGACAGTGAGTTGATCAAACTAAGCAATTTTATGTCATTAACTTCTGGTCTAAAAAAATATGATGGGCATTTTCCACTATTTTGTGACTTTTTATAGACTGAAAAATGAATACATATAATTGTTAGTTGCAGTCCTAGTTCCACAGCTATTATTGGTTTATGTATGGATACTATAAGCCACTTGTATTAGTATAATCATGAATATTGATCACTATCAGGCTACCAAAATACAGCTTGAATGAACTGTCAACATTACAACCATTAACTGCTGAATTTCCACTCAGCAAAGTTGTGAATCTAAGCATGTTTTCATGCCACCATCTTGTCATCATCATGACTTTCTTCTTTGTAAAAGTCAGAGTTTATAGAGGGGATTTAAATAAAGATAGTTAAATAAACAATTTGTTACTCTCCGAATGTTGATAACACAGAGGATGTTGCCAGACATATTCTCTGTAGCATATTCTCATGGCTTTGGCAATTTACTAACTATAACAGTGAAAGAGGCAGAGAGACTTTATTTGACTACAGTGTGTGCTATTTATTTTGTATTTACTTTGCATCTGTTAATTGATATTTTTTCATATTTGTGAGGTGCCGCCTTCTATATGTTTTTTGTTTGTTTGAGGTTTTTTTTGTTGTCTATTAGATATACTGTACAACTGTATATGAAACAGTGAATTTCTGTGTTGTCCAAAGGGTATCTATGTGACCAGGATAACACCAGGAGGACCAGCAGATATAGCAGGATTGATGATGGGAGACAAAATAATGCAGGTGTGTAGTGAAATGCACAAATCCACAAGATGGCACTATGTGTACACTAGAGTGTCAGGTTGGAGCTCTGCATTAGGAACAGTGCTCACTTTGTCCTACTGTTAATCAACATGGTCCTAACTTAAGTTTGAGAAAATAGCATTTCCAGCATTTCTCAGAGACAATTCTTTTCTTCCTCCCAGGTGAATGGCTGGGATATGACTGTGGTGACCCATGACCAGGCGCGGAAAACACTAACAAAGAAGAAGGAAGATGTGGTGCGACTACTGGTAACCAGAAAGTCCTTGGAGGACGCTGTCAAGCAGGCCTGTTATCCCAGAAAGCAACCTAGTGGCACGACAGTACTAATGCAATAACCTAGGAGTGAACAAGCTCATGTACTGAGTTCCCACAAATTCAGATGATGGTTGCACCGTGGCCTTTATACCCATGTTAATGCAAAAACACCACATAGACTGTATCAGTTAATTCTTACTCATTCTGATCAGTCATCAGTCTTCCTTTCCATAAACACTCAAATTCATCTCAAAGTTATGTGCTTACTTTTTTATATCTTTATATATCTTTGAAGTACATCCATATGTAACTGACAGGAGAAGTATGTTATGGGAATAAGTGAGGCACCATCTGAAATGTGCAACACTCCAAAATGTTTTTAGCCCAACAGGGCTCAAATACATTTCATCTGTTATCAAATTAAAATAATTCACAGTGAGAATATTCTTTAAACACACTCTTGGTGTCCAGTTAATATCACCATAACAATTGTAAGCAGAAAAACAACAAGACTTACCAACATTTTCACATAAAGACAAGTGTTCCAAAAAAAATCACATGATCCATTTTGAGTAATTTTGAGAAACATCAACATTTTTTGCTCCTTTAAAATGTTTCCGTGTATTGTTTAGGGTTACAAAAGATGAATAGCTTTGGTAGCAGATATTTATGATAATTACTGTAATTCCAGTTTGTTTGAACAACAGTAGACTGAAATGACTTTTTGGAAGACATTTCATAAAATAGTGTTTGTTTATCTCTCTACTTAACATCAGTTTTTAAATAGTGTAGTAGAACATTCTTGATTTATTCCAAATTAGTAAATATTTGCTAAATGTCTTCAATTCATTCTTTATAGGAGCTTTTTAGTTGCAGTCGTAGTCTTTCATAAGGCATGGGGTAGGATATCTTTGTCAAATACGTCTATTATCCTTTTTGCCTTCAACTGACCAAAGATAGATTTGATGGACTGGAATAATCAAGGAAGTTTGTTGCTATTTTATTGTATCCTTAATGATCATCTCATTTAAATCAAAAAAGTATATTTTTCTGTAATTCCTGTCAAGATTACAGCACCAATTGCCAAAGTAAAAACCAGGACACTATTACACGATCAAAAGTCTTTTTACCAGTCTTTTTTTATTGTATACTAATGTGTGTCACACTAGTTATTCTTTTACTGATACATATTTCAGTTCTATTTGTCTTGATTGTTGTTGATGTCTATTACATGTGTGGTAAACTAACATTTTCTCTCTCTGTGTCTGCTAAAGTAACAAGAAAATGTTCTTCCAAGTTATTTCCAAGTCCCGTATAAACAATATCCCACAAGCTGGGCTTACTTTCAGATGACACCTGTCAAAGCATTTTCAGTGTATTCACTGTTAATCACCTTTTATCAGGTTTAACAAAAGAAAGTTGGTAACTCGCTGTTTAACCAGCAACCCCACTAGTTTCACACTGGAATCAGCTACATTCAGATTGTGTCAAGCTGTGAAATGTTTTGAACTTGTTTATTGTCAGTGACCAAAGGTCCAAGTTGAAACTGTAAACCTGAAGCCAGCAGGAGTGAGTTTGATAACTCGGGAGTGTGCACAGCAACTTTAAAACCACTAAGTTTAATAATAACTATTTGTTTCTATTTTCCATTTAACCATTCCTCTGTGGCTTCTGCAACACAGCATTGATTTATTGCCTCTAATGCAGTATGTACTACATAACATTGCAGAAGACTGATAACAATATTATGGCTTGGAAATATTACAGGACAGTGCATTGGTATTACAATACTAATCTTATATCTGGGAGATCTTATTGGCTCTTTTCTAATGCTAGTGGTATAAAAATACTTTGTGTTTAATAGAACAATATGGTCTGTATATTATATATATTAACACCTTAGTCTAACAATCAAGATTGTGAGCTAAGTTAAATTTTCATTCCAAAATGAAATATCCTTTGTTATAAATTATTTCTGGTAAAGGAGTAGAGCAATAGAGAGGCAGTATTATGCTGATATAACAATAAATGAATGTTAAAGGTACAGTCCACCTAAAGAATGTCTCATAATGTATTTTAAGGAGTCAAAATAGTAAAGCATTGGAGTCAGTTTAAAACTTCACAGTATATAATTTTGAAATGAAACCTTTCGATACTCAACACACTGGTTCACAAACGTTTTGGCTTGTGAGTCTTTAAGATAAGGCCATACCCCCTCCGCAGAGATTATGGCTTTTGGAGGCCTAAAAGATAATTTTGCAGAAAAACAATTTTAGGGCTGGACATCATTTTGTTTAACAATATATAAGGTATAATTTTTACGTATGCCTTTCATCATTTTAGGACCCCTAAGAGTTATCCATTGGGTGTTCAACAATAACTACAGTGGTACAGTGGTTTCACCACAGTGATACATTTAGAAATGAGTGTAATGTATGACAAATCACTTGCGGTATTTTCTATTTGAATTATGTCTGTCTGTCTCCAGATTTTGTATATGTAAACTGCCAGCAGAGCACAAACGTTCAGCATTTGACTGTCTTCAGTTTACTCTACGAATGTTTCTCAGATATAAAAAGACTGAAAATGAAATCTGCCTGTCTACCTTTTTATTGATAAAGCACCAATTTAATATGATTCGAAGTACCAGTCTATTTTTTACCTCTCTCCCCTTCGCACTGCAAAGCCTTTTTTTATCTTACAGGCCCTTCAAATAGCTTCATGTTGCCAGTTATAAAGTAATCAGCTGACATTTCAAAGCAAAGAATCTATTCCCTGACCTTTCTGTGTTTACCAAGGCATTTTGATACAGAGAGCTTTCTCTACTTTCATCTCTTAAATATGTGTGCCTGGAACCAATCACTGGCCTTTGAACTGAGGATCTGGGGAATAAAAGTCCATGATGCATCAGAATGAGAAACTGGTCGCAGAAGGCAACTGTTAAAAAATAGGCTCATGAGAAAGTTTGATTTTAATGTGCTATGCTTGTTCATGTTGATTTTGTTTTTTTGGGAACATTGTGCCACAATTCTTTAATTGAACATTTTTTCAACTGTTCACCACGTTACCATCTTTATTGTATTTAGCTGTAGAGATCATGGTTTTTATTAGTAACAAGATGGCAGATGGTATGTAGTGTAGAGTAATGTACTACCAGCGTGTTTTCTATTTTCTGAGGGACAAAGCCAGTTGAGATGAATTTGCTGTGTAATGCTTTTTCAAGTCTTAAAATAACACCTGGTCCATGTCACATCATGGGAGAGGGTCGATTTAGGGCAACACTGAGCTAAAATCCCCCCTTTGAGAAATAATTGATGAGGAAACTGTGCGTGCATGTGTGTGTGTGTGCGTGCGTGCGTGTGTGTGTTATTTTTATTCCTGGGACAAAGGGAAGCAGGCTCCATTCCACTTGCCTGGGCATCATCATACTATTATACAATGTTACGAGACAAAGTGGTTGCACCAACACAATCTCAGCCAGCGCTCAGACTCACAATGTGAGTTTACTCTCACCGATACCACAGCATTAATACATTGCATGTTGCTAGGTAACTAATGGACAGCCATAAGTAGGAGCAATGAGCAGTTAAGTTAAAATTTAATCAGAATTTACAAAGTTGTAACTCATCAAAATTTTGTTGCCATTGCCCTTAATTTGTTTGACTTAATTTGTTTGTTTGATAACAAGGTAATCCAAATCTGTTTAAATATATTTAATGTATTTAAATTTACACTTTTTAAACCATTTTGTAAACTCATAAAAACACAGCTGGTCTCTAAATTCACACTAGATTGAATTAACTAGTTGTAATGTACCAAAAGAATGCAAAGAGATAACAGAGATAAATATTCCCTCCTGCAGGCGGGTGAATAATTATACTATCTAAACATGGATCATACATGATCCATGCCTCCCACGTTATGGCAGGATAATGTGTTGCCATGGCAATGCAATCTGTTCCTATCACTTTGGTCCTACACCAGATTGGAACCAGAGGGAAGTCCACAGCATCAGATTCATCCTCATGTTAGGAGTAATAAATGGCTCTAGAAGATGTATGGGCATGCAGAGGTTGTCTGTTTGTATTCTTTCTATAGTTAACAGAAAAAGTAGTTTTTAACAATTTTTACAATTTTGTTATAGGGAGATTATTGATCACTAAGGTCATTAACCTCAGACTCTGTAGTTCAACCGTCTTTAAGACGCCACATATGAATCTAACCTTACAGATGAGCATTATCATTTCAAGTAAAGATCTCAGAGTTTCCAAAAGTACCAGATAAAATTGAATAACATGATGTCAAGACATTTTAAGATATTTTCATGTGCAGTTGTAAAAGTCTTTTATTCTGGGATTGAAACAGCTGCAACAAAGTTGACAGAACTATACAAACTAAAGCAATGCTGTTGAGGGGTTTATGGGATACTTTGGAAAAGATGTTCTGCAGACTTTCTCAAGCATTTTAAGAATTTGGCTTTTGGAAATAAAAGTTACTGAATGAACCTACCAAAGCTTGAATTTTTATTTTTTCAGAGTACATTTTGTACATTGAACAGAGTCAAAATACTGTAGATATTTACTTTTACTTTTAATTTATATTTATTTTAGCAGCTGTTCTGGGGCTTTCAGTCACATCAGAGGATCCCTCCTCAGTTGATGGTGTTTGCCCAATTGTCACTTTATTGACTTCGTATCCATATTGGCTTAAAAGACAACTGGGCCAACCCTACCTGCTGAGGAAGATTGTTTGATATGACATGAGAGAATGATGTTTACAAAGACAACAATGAACGTTCAGTCTAAACTTTTAAGCCAACATGGATGAGAAGTCCCTAAAATCCTTAGAGAAACTATTCCATGACAAGTTGGAAAATCCCATCTGCTGAGGAAGTCACTGTGTGTGTGTGTGTGTGTGTGTGTGTGTGTGTGTGTGTGTGTGTGTGTGTGTGTGTGTGTGTGTGTGTGTGTGTGTGTGTGTGTTTGTGTTTGTGTTTGTGTGAGATCAAAATCAAAAGATCCAGAACAGAAAAGAGAGAAATTAAGCAGTATCTTGACTCTGTTCTGTGTATATAATTGTATTCCAAAAATTAAAAATTCATGCCTTCTTATATTTATTCACTTTGATTTCTAATTTGATAATAATTGAGGAAGTCTGCTTAACTTCCTTTTACAAGGAAATCCCCCAAAACCAACAAGAACATTACTTTAGACTTTATATAATGATGTTAAACTACAATTCAGTGTTGAAATGTTGCCTATTGAACAGTTTTACTTCTTTTTGTGTGTTTGGTGCAAACCCACTGATAGGTACCTGGAAACTGTAGTTGTAGAATCATTTCCTGCTCATGATGGGCATCTTGAATAATCTATATCTGTGTGTTAAAAAAAAAAAAAAAAAGCACAATTATGGTGTTTTTTCATTTGGTGGTAGGCTACATGCATATCAATGTATCTTTTGTGAACGTGATCATGATGAGTGGGTGTGAGAGTGGAAAGCTGGGTAGCTGAGTGCCAAGGGTTAGGAGTTCCCCAGAGTGGCTCACAGCAGACCCCGGGCGATGAGCAGATGCGTGTTGTCATAGCAATGACTGCTGTGTGTAAATACTGTTAGCGCCTTCAGGACCCAAATTCAGTGTTTAATAAGCAAAATGAACGTTGTAGCCTCATCATTAATCAGGGAATTAATCACGTTGTCATAATAATGGCCCTTTCTTTCAACATGTGACATTTATCTAATAGTGAAATCTACTAAGAGACAAGTGTATTAACCTGAGAGTATTGCACTCAGGCTTCATTGTTGTGGACAGGCAGCAGGTGGTTTATCTTTATTATTTTTCCCTCTCTCTCTTGAAGGGTCCTTAACCTCTCCTCCTCCTCCCACGCAGACCTCCCAGGCGCTCCTCTCCGCCGGAGGCTTCATGGACAAGCGCGAACCGCTTGATAGTAAAAAAAAAAAAAAACGGGAGATAACAGTGAAGATGATGAGGGTAGATACTGTGTGTGGGCAACATTAGTTCATTATCGGCTGCTTGGTGGAGAGGAAGACATCCACATGACGGTGTGAGGAGCACCCTGGACGGACTGAGGCAGGTACAAGATTTTCTTTGTGATTAACTTTTTGTTGCCGGCCAACCTGCTAACTAATCAGAGTAACTGCGTTGTTTTTACATGAGTCTGACACGGTTTGAGCGAAAGTTGTGTTGAAAATTGTGAAGTTTTAATCCTTGTTTTGCAGCTTCTTCTGAAACAACCGCCAGTAGAAGAGGAGAGGATCTGTCTCTTCATGACAGCTTGACACATTCAAAGGCACAAACAGGGTATCAGACTTTATCTTTTGTACTTTTGCACTCAAATTCATGTACATTTTCAAAAAAAAAAAAATGCAAGAAAGAATATAATAATGTATGTAAGGAAATCCATCTATCTATCTATCTATCTATCTATCTATCTATCTATCTATCTATCTATCTATCTATCTATCTATCTATCTATCCGTCTGTCTGTCTGTCTGCCTGTCTGTCTGTCTGTCTGTTTGTCTGTCTGTCATGACATTATCATAATGATATTATGATTTTGATGCAGGGTTGTGATAGTTTTAAATTAAAGGTGTCCTTTTTTGTATGCATAGTTTTTCATAGTGAAGTCCCACAAGCCCACTAAAGTTTATTCATAGACAACTGGGAAGCCGTTGACTGTGATAATAAGCTTTTCCTCGGTTTTCTTCTAAATACTTTCATGTAGGTGAATGGAATAGAAATTCTTCCGTGCTTCTGTTTCCTCGATGGAAAAGAAACAAGTGCGATTGGTTGTTGCCAGGCCGTCACTCCCATCAACCCAGAAGACATTTGCATAAAATTGAATCTTTCTTAACATGATGCCCACATTGCATCACTGTGCAACTTTTGAATGCCTGTGAAATGGTGAGTGGTGCCAGCATATTTCTCCAGGTTTAATTCACAATCTTTCACATCTCCACTGTTGAAGTCTGTATGAATTGGACGGTCAAACCAAGGGGTTAACAGGAGAACCACCACCGATGCCTCTGCTATAGGTTTTGATTTTTTTTAGTTCAAACCCTGCTTATGTAGTACTTACACAGCTGTACATCCTGGCAACTTACATTTCTCATTTTTTCACCTCTGAAAAGGAGACTATTCCCATGCAGTTGCTGTGCTTGTTTCATTCGCTGTGAAAGGGAGTGGCGATTGTGATGACCAGAGGGTCTGTAGTGGTCGTGCTAGGTGTGTGTTACTGAAAAGGGAAATACTGTTAAATCTTTCTTCAACTTCTTTAATGTTCACCTTAAAATCTCCACTTGCAATAGAAACTTGTAGAAGATGAATCACAGTTTTTGCGGTCACTACTTGGTATCTCCGTAGCCACTGTACTGGATGTAGGCTGTCGGTATGAGCCTGCCATTTGGCGCCTATTTCAGGTGGCATTCTGCTCCCTCTCCGCTTCCCCTGCCTGTTATCATTTTAGATCTACATATGTCTTTGCTGTTTTTTGTGGTTGTTTTCTTTGTACGAAATTAGCCATTTTAATGATTGTTCACCTCCCCAAAACAACCAACAATGGTGTGACCCAACGCAATTGTGATTGGTGTAAAGAAATGCAAAAAAGAAAGGTGGAGATAAGGCATAGCCTTCGGTGTAGTTATATTGGCCTATGCACGTAGCTTAAACCCTTCAACACACACCCATAAATCAACCTTTAGTCTTTAGTATGGATCAGACTCTTAAAACCATTGGATCCTACAATGTCTGTAATGCAACTCGATAGTAGCTTTCATTAGACCTTCTCTGACTGATTCTGCCCATGTCTTTCAAACTCAACACCGCTGGTAAAAATCGGAAGTCTGAAGTGGAGATAAACCTGATGACATCCTCAAGGGTTATTTTCTTTATTATTTTCTATTCATAAAACAAAAAATATCTACCTATATATTATTTTCACAAGCTGAGTATTCTCCGTGATGATTTTCATTTGTAAAATTGTGCCACTTAAATTCCAAAGATTTTGGTCTGAGGTTTTGTTGTGTACATTATCATGTCATGTTGTTTCGTGTACGATCACATGAACTGGTTTCTATGCAAAGTGTTCAGGGAAGTGGATCTGTAGTGTAAAGCAATTTAGTTGAGGGTGGAGAGTTGGATTAAAGGATAGATGGATGGATCTGAATTGTCACGGAGTATGAAAGGTTGGCTGGAGGGTGTGCATGTGCGCATGTTTGTTTGTGTGTTTGTATGTGTGTGTGTGTGTGTGTGTAAGTGTGAGAAGGTCAGACCATATGAGAGGCCTTTTCATGTCTGTCTGCTTATGAGAGCCGAGCAGTGAGACGTCCTGTCATTGTACCACTCAGCTCCAGACACTCTCTCACACTCTGAATCTCTTGTCTACTCTTGTGAAGCTGAGAGTGTCACCTGACTTTGATCGGACTGTTTGAGACACACTGTAAACCATGAGTGGTGAGTAACCAGTGAGCAGCTTGTTGAACTTTGCAAAGCTTTCTCTGCAAAGTTGACTTTTGTGTGATTAGAAGAATAGATAATTGCATTCTTTGATTTTGAGGGAACAAGTCTTGATTTATTGGATTGAAATGTACAGTTGGTCTGAGCAAGTGATTTTATTGTGGTGTAAAAAAATATTTAAAGAAATATAAAGCAGTATTAACAAGGAATATGCAGTAGCTTGAAACAGGATCCATGTGTCCCAGGATGTTTTAACATGTTAGTCTGAAGTGGTTTTCCACTGAGATGTAAATTGTGCTCTGCCTTACACGCTGCATGCTCCTCCGCCAGCTGTATAGCCAATGCTAATGACACTGAGTTAATTTTAGAATATTTACTAGTGTTCGGTGCTAAAATAGTTTTTGATATAATTAAGAATTCTTCTTGTTACCCTGTTAGCCATTATCTGTACAAAAATACCTGTTGACCGTTGAGGGTCAATGATGCTCTCCATTACTATAATAGACCCTAATCTCTTTGCTTTTAGCTTAATGTTTAAATGTTTATCACTAGTTTGCTGCTTATCTAATTGAGGATGTTTGGGTTGTCAGACAGCGCTGATTGTAGCCTGACCAGCACTGAGCAGTTTTAGCCAGAGTTGGCTGCTTTAGGCTGGAAGGTCGCTGAAACTCAGTGACAAACATAATAAAACAATAAATAAGCCTAATGGTTACATGACTCAGGCACATGGCTACAAGGGTGCTGTATTCCCACTGTATGTAGGTGTTTTGGGAATGGCATTCTTTAAGCATTTGTACAATTGGAAACAGACTTGAAAAACATTTAAAGACATGTATCTCAAAGTTGTTTGCCCGGTTGGTTCCACATGGTAAGCAATAAATAACAAAGATGGGAGCAGGTACAAGAGCATTGGTAGGCTACTGAACATGATCTGAAACACCACCAATAACAGAAGGTGAGTGGCCAGTCCTTGAAAAATAACATCATTAACAATTCACTATTTACGTAGCCTCGCACTGAAAAACAGACGGGCAAGTGCTTTGGACTTGGCACGAGGATTATCTGTGGACACTGGTGTTTCAGTGACTGATTAGACAGAGCGAGGGACACTGTATGAAGTCAACCACAGACAGCGTCCAAGATAAAAACCATTGCTCATAAAATGGCACAAAACTGCCAGATTACACTGCCAAAGAACATGAAAAGAAGCCTGATGAATATTGGCAGCACATTCTTTGGTCAGATGAAACCAAAATAAAATAGTTTGGATCAGCTGGGCTCCAGCATGTTTGACGTGGACCTGGCCAGGACCACCCCAGTGACCGCACAGTGCTGAGTGGGAGTGGGCTGAGAGATGACCTTTATAGATGGCACTATGAATTCAGGTTTTTCTACCCAAATACTGAATAAAAAGATGACTCCACAGTCTCAAGAAGCTTGGCAGGAGGGGATATTTTCCAACATGACAATGACCCTAAACACACTGCAAAAATCATGCAAGTTTTTAAAGAAAAAAAAAAAAAACTGAAAACCATGACCTGGCCTTGTATGTCCCTCGATTTGAATCCAGTATACGCCGTTGGAAGATTTTAAAGCAGAAAGAGCAACAAAACCCGTCCAGCAAAGAGCAGCTGAAAAGAATCATTTGTGAATGTGTAAATCTCTCCACAGACTGATGCAAGCTTAGTATCATCCATGCCCAGGGGGATTGATTTCACTGTAGTCGCTTCTTAAGCATAATACTTTCATTATGGTTTAATTAGTCAAAAAAAATATGTTTTTTCACATTAATTGGCTTCATTCTTCTTGGGCTTTGACCAAAAACAAATAAAACTATTAAATGGACAAACTTTGTAATCTCTTAACATTTTAGTGATATTAACGTATGCCGTATAAGCACAGCAGTGTACTGTCTTTATGTTTAGCAGCTGATGTTTTTCACTGTTTCATTCCTTCACTAAAGCTTTGCTGTCTCTTCATTGATTGTGTGACGCTGAGTTCCACTTAACACGCACAGAACATGACATAAACAGTGTGTTGTCATAAGTGGTAGTCCATTTCACTGCTAATGTAGATCTGTAGTCACTGGTAGTGCCTCTTCACCCACTCTTATCCATTCAGCACTCAGAAATGAATGGTGAAACAGGATCAGTAGCACTCTGACTCCTCCAGGCTTGTTGTAAAACATCATGACTGCATGGCATATTTGATCAGATGTTTTCTCTTGTGCTTAAGTTGCATACCCACACACACACACACACGCACTTATAGGCAATAAGTGTGAACAGTGCTGTGTGAGAGCTGATTATTCTGCATCTGACACCAAGCTAAATAATGGCCTTGATTATCCAGGGTCATCCCACAACCTGCTCAACAATGGGTCTTTTACACTGTATGTAATAGATAGATGTGAACCTCAGAACAATAGACAAAAGAAAATCAATAGACAAGAGGGATGTAAACAGAATAGATGAAGTCTTTGGAGATTATATGCTAAAGTGTTAATCCCCCAGGGAAAAGTAAAAATATAAAGGTGTCGGAGCTCAGAGTGATTACATTGGATGTGAGGGAGAAGTGGGGAAAGAGGTTGGCCTTATTGTTCTTTATGTGTGGGGCTTCAAGTCTGTTTGCATAGGGTAATTCTGAGGAAACACTAACCTAGATAGATAAGGAGAAGTGAGATCAACTGCCACGTGCTACACACAGACTACTTTTGTTTTCAGCAGAAGAAAACACGGTAAGACTACAGATGCTAATATTTTGAAGTTTTGGTGTTGTTACAGCTGTTCTCTATTAAAAGATATCAAGAAAAATGATCACAGTAAAGATTTAGATAAACAGCTGAGATTTATTTACTCACTATAGTAGAAAAAAGTCTGTTGTATAATTAGAGAACCAGAACTACACTACATATATTCGTCATCTGTCTGTGAATGTTCTCATTCGTCCAGGTCATTGTTATTGATATATTCGTCATGCATTGTAATTTAAAGTTTAACAGGTCAGTTTACATTAGCCTGAGCAGCTGGAGAATCACCTCTTTATATATTCTGTTTAGATCTGCACTGTGTACTGTCTTTACAAAAATGAGTAAGTGTTGATTCATTCTCTCCATTTCTGGCTCATGATCCTGATTGATTATTGACTTATTCAAAAATTGGTTCAGGTGATTTCAGATTGGAGCAGAGCTGCAACTACTAAAAATAATAATAAAATAATGATAATTTAATCATTTTCATTATTGATTATTCATTTTTTTGTTAATCGATAAATCATTTAGTCAATAAAATATCAGAATAAGTGCAAAATGTCCATTGCAGTTTCCCAGAGCCAAAAGTGATGTCTTCAAATTGCTTGTTATTGAAAGCTTGTTGCTGTCAATTAATGTTTTCTCCATCTAAGCCCAGCATGTATCAGTCACCATGTATTAAGTACCCTCCTGGGTTAAATTATCTACACCTTCAGTTTCATGTTATCTCTAGTTATTGTGTCACTGTTTAAATCTTTCAAACGCAGCGGCCGTGGTCTACGTGATTAGACTTTCCCATGCCATTATCTGATGTTTTCTGCCCGTTGGACAACATCATTGTATTTGAATATTCTTCATGTCCGTTCAGGAGACACTCTCTCTATGTCATCCTCTCCCTTGCCTAGTTTCCCACGAGACCTGCCTCCTGGACCAGGTGCTGGAGCTGATTATGAACGAGAAGCCCCCCACCAGTGCGAGTCTTTTCCTAAACGAGGACGCAGACAAACCCCCCGTGCCAGAGAGAGTAGACTTAAGGAGGCGTTTACGCAGGGCAATGGAGAGGAAAGCCAGCAGCATGAAGGAGAGGATAGGCTCCATCAGCAGGGACAGCGTCAAAGGTTTCCTCAAGAGGAACCTGTTTGTTCTGTTCACTGTCGCCGCCGTGGCTCTGGGTGAGTACAGAGGGGAGCCTGCAGTTCAACATTGTCTTCTCTGCAGACAGTTGACTCTATATGACTTTGTGTAAATTTGTGCTTTTGTGTGTGTGTGTATGTATGTAACCCTAACCCTGCGTGCGCGTGCAAATTTATTCAGGTGTAATCCTGGGCTTTGCTCTACGCCCCCACAACCTGTCCCTGAGGGAGATCAAGTACTTTGCCTTTCCAGGGGAGCTCCTAATGAGAATGCTACAGATGCTGGTGCTGCCTCTCATCGTCTCCAGTCTGGTCACAGGTTGGCTTTGAACAAACGCACTTAAGGCTCGCAGAATGTAGATTACAGTAGATTACGGGCCAGACCCTAAAATGACACCTGACTTTCATTTGGGCAATTTCCCTGGCAGGCAAGATCTTTGCTCTATTTCAGCCTTATTTTGTGATTCAAGTTGATAACAAGTATAGTTTTACACAAATATTGCTTATCTGGTTTAATTTGAACCTCTTTCAATATTTAATGTCCAGTTTTATCTCAAATTAAATTAATGTTGATAACAAAATCTAAATTTGCAGCAAACTGATTAAATTCTGAATTGAATTTTCTCTGTCCCAGGTATTTCCTCTTTGGACAGCAAAGCGTCAGGTAAAATGGGTGTTCGTGCAGTGATCTACTACATGGTGACCACTCTCATTGCTGTGTTCATCGGCATTGTCATTGTGATAATAATCCGGCCGGGGAAAGGCAGCAGAGATAGTCCTGTGACCAACAGTGGAAACATTGAACCTGTTCAGGCTGCTGATGCTTTTCTGGATCTTATCAGGTGACGACTTTACCGATTTGTGAAATTGATACTGTATCTGGCTGTTGAAGCATTTCCCACATACAGTCACGATTTAATTCATTTATTTCATCAATTTTTAAGGTGATAGTTTGACATTTTCGGAAATGCTGAGAATTAGATGAGAAGATTGATACCACTCTCATATCCACGTTAAATATGAAGCTTAGCTTAGCAGCAACCAGGAAGCAATCTGGCACATAACGCCACAAACCAAACATAATCATTTTTACATTTACAGATATAAAAGTGGTACCAATCTTCTCATCTAAGTCTTGGCAAGAAAGGAAATAAACATACTTCCCAAAATGATGAGCAACTCCTTTTAAAGGATTTGTATAATTACGAGGACATTCAGACATCACAAAATAGTAGAAACAATGGATTGTGTGTGAATGAAAATGCATTCACTCACTCTGATATCTGATAGAAGAAATGACTATCTCTGAGTGATTACTCTTTAAGATTATGAAATGGTTATTGTTTAACATAGTGTAGTATTGCAGTACAAAATTTACAACCTGTTGTGACTCATTTGTAAACTCATGTTTAATTTTTATCTCAGGAATATGTTTCCTCCCAATCTGGTAGAAGCTTGTTTCAAGCAGGTGAGGCCATATTTTTTCAATTTTCATTTATTTAAGTCACAAAAAACCCTCAAATTTCATACCATATCACCACTTCCATAATCTAGTTCAACCAACCACAAAGAGACAACATCAAAGACAGAAAAGCATGTAAAAACACACATTATCTTCATCTCATAGACACTGTGAGATCACATTTTTTGCACATGACTTTCAGACCCAAACAGAATCAATGTCAAACTGCATGCTCTCTGTTACAGTATAAAACTGTGTACAAGAAGACTGTTCATACAAGGAACGTGACAGTGACCCTGAACCTCACCAACTCTCTCAACGTGACAGAGTCTAATCTGAGCGTGAACCTCAGCAGGGTGCTGCACACCATACAGGTGGGTGGCTCCTCTGGGGAAAAAAAGGACATGATCAGTTATAGATTGAAGTAAAAGTGTGCAGAAGTGGGATGAGAAGTAGTTAAAATCCTGTAATGTGTGTCCTGCAAACTGTACAATCTGTTCTACGACAGGAGACAGTGGAGGAGACGGTCCCTGTGTCCGGCTCTTCTGCTGGAGTGAACGCGCTGGGTCTGGTGGTGTTCTCCATGTGTTTCGGTCTTGTCATTGGCAACATGAAGCAGCAGGGCCAGGCCCTCAGGGACTTCTTCGACTGCCTGAATGAAGCCATCATGAGGCTTGTGGCCATCATCATCTGGTCAGTAAAGAGTCACCTCCAACTCAGCAAGTAAAACACATTTCTTTATAGATTTTCTTTTTCTGTGATGTTTCACGTGGCATGTTTATGTAGTTTACATTTCTTGCCTGTGAAACATACTGTAATTCTTTTGAGTATCAAATTCAAAAAGCAGTTGTATACCCTCTTAAGTATTAAGCTGGTTACTAACTTAAGATGCTCAGCAGATCTGTATGTTTATATCCATCTTCCTCCATACTCATTCATCTCCTCTGAATCACTTTACTAGGTATGCTCCCCTGGGCATCCTGTTCCTCATTGCAGGGAAGATTGTGGAGATGAAGGATCTGGCAGAGGTGGGCAGTCAGCTGGGGATGTACACTGTGTCAGTCATTGTGGGTCTCCTCATTCATGGCCTCTTTGTCCTGCCGCTGCTTTACTTCCTGGTGACCAGGAGAAATCCCTATACCTTCATTGGTGGTCTGCTGCAGGCACTCATCACAGCTCTGGGAACCTCATCCAGGTGAGTCTCATACTCTGTCCTGCTCCGACACTGATGTTTAGGACACTTGCCTGTACTGTATGTTGTATGTGTCACTGATTGCAAGAATACATGTTAAAAGAGCAGGCAAGGAGTTTAGTGTCAATAATACAGCAATACCATGATATCATGATAGGATACGATACATGATAAGATACTATAAGATACAATACATTACGATGCAACACGACACGATATGGTATGACACAGTAAGATACAATAAGATACGATACGACATAATATGGTACAATACGATACGATATGACACAACACGATACAACGCGATAATATAATATGTAACTACATAAAATAGAATACCATGAATTGCATTTTGAAATTGTTATTTAAAATATAATACTAAACATTTCAATGAAAAAATTATCTTACATATATTCGATAAACTTCATGTATTGCATTTTGTGTCTGACTGGTGTCAAATTATGATGCTTCATGTCTCTCTCTCCCTGCTTCCTCCAGCTCTGCCACCCTGCCCATCACCTTCCGCTGTCTGGAGGAGAACAACCATGTGGATAAAAGAGTGACACGCTTCGTCCTGCCTGTGGGCGCCACCATTAACATGGATGGCACTGCCCTCTATGAGGCTGTGGCAGCCATCTTTATAGCTCAAGTCAATGATATGGACCTAAACTTTGGCCAGATTCTCACCATCAGGTATCACTAGTTTTACATTTGTTAGTTTTTGTTTTTGATGAAAAATAGATTTTCAAGAGTGTTTTTCAGTTGGTACATTTGTTTAACACAGATGAAGATTATACTGACAGTGCTCAACTGCTGTCAGGGAGTATAGGGGTCAGGAACGCTCGTCAACAGGCACTGAACACTCCCGAAGTCCAGGCTAAAATCCAGCAGTGATGGTGCCTCTGTTTACTTTGTTTTGTTATTAAATACTAAATACTTTGAAATTTTCTTTTTTTTATTGCTTGGCCTGCTTTTAAACTATTTCAATAACTGTTTTAATTCCAATTTCCTTTCTTCTGATCATCTGCCCAGGGACTACAGATGAAAATTAGTTTGCACTTAAATTGCACTTTGGTGCATTTAAAGCACAGCATATCACTATATTACTGTATCATTACACTTTTCAATTTGATTTTATATTGCACAGGTTGTGTCCAAAATTGTTCTTGGACCCACATCTCTCTGCTGCATCTTTATTATCACTTCATTCCAGAGAAAATCACAGTTTATTTACTCCATGACTCACCTGATTGAGCTTTTCATAAAGAGAGAGTTTCTATGTGTAAATTAATGGGTCATACATATTGTACTTCATGTAAGCATATCCTACTAGAATATGTTGTTACATTACTCTTGACAACATGTGTAAAACTTCCTACAGTTTATAGAACATATCCTGAAGTTGTGTGACCACCTCAGCCTGGCATAAATTTACATGATTTTATAATTCCTAACGTGCCTTTATCACTCTACTACTCCCACCAGGAGTGCACATGTGCTGTTTGTTTGTTTCCCTTTATTAAATGTCTTCACTCTCCTCTCCATCCCTCCCACCACCCACTCAGTATCACGGCAACTGCTGCCAGCATTGGAGCAGCAGGCATCCCTCAGGCTGGCCTGGTTACCATGGTGATTGTATTGACATCGGTGGGACTGCCCACAGAGGACATAACACTGATCATCGCTGTGGATTGGTTCTTGTGAGTTCCCACTAAATGTCAGCGTGATGGGGATTGGTCTGTGTACTGTTCTGTGGCTCTGCCAGCCTAAATGTCATAGTAAAGCTTCAGAGAGCCCAGAGGTCCCACCACTACAAAGGTTACTGATGCATAATGCAGAGTGACAGCTTAGAAAGCCTGTGTTTAGAGGCACGTTTTCAAATTTTGAGTCGCGAGTGTTTTCATAGCAGATATACAATCATTTTTTGTTCCTGTTTTATCTCAACTTTCTGCCTCTTTTTTCTGTTTTTATCTGATTCTTTCTCTCTCTCTCGCTCCCCCAGGGACCGCTTGCGTACCACCACCAATGTGCTGGGTGACTCGCTCGGGGCTGGCATTGTGGAGCACCTTTCCCGTGGAGAGCTACAGAATCAGGATGCTGAGGGGCACAACTCTGTTATTGAGGAGAATGAGAAGCCCTACCAGCTTATCTGCCAGGAAAACGACTCCATCAACCACCACAACAGTGAGACCACAATGTGAAAAAATAAACCACAGTTAAAGGGGAATTGTGTACCGAAAGCATTTTAGCTAGAAGGTTGGCTTGTAATGGTGCAGGGGCGGTTTTAGAGAAAAAAAATAGTTTTGGGTTGACTCAGCCAGTGCTAGGGGTTTCCAGAGTGTCTTTAACTCTCATCTTACCCTCAAATAGAAAATGTTGTCCGGGAAAAAGGCAATAGAAAGCCTGGCCCGGGGCTGCTTGGTGACAGGAAATAAGTCCACATGCTGTTTAGGAACAGTTACATATCCAACTGCTAACAATCTGATTCAGTGCCAGTTATTTGGGACCGATTTGAAAAACTCAATATATAAAATAAAGCTGAAAGTCATTTTTCAAAACATTTTCAGGTTCGTTGAGTTTTCAAAGATTTGTGTGATTTATGATCCATACAGTCAGAGAGTCATAACACTTCCTACTTCCTACCAGCGTCAGTGTTACAATACACAGTATTATTAGGGAGAAAGACCATCATATTTCCAATTTTGTGAATATGTAAATTTTCATCACTCTGCTATTTCTGTTGCATGACCTAACACCTCATTGAAAATACTTATTTTTTGTCACTCAAATCATCATGACTACCTCTAACAGGACTTTTAGATATAGACCTTCTACAGCTCTACACACAAATACATATCAGCAGGATGTAAATACATCAATCTCTCAGTTACTTTAAATCCCATATTTAAGTTTGAAATATTTTTTTAAGTTTGCTTGCACAAAACACTGGACTGTGGTGGGAGGGAGAATGTATACAGTATTTATCTATTTCAAGTGACTTGGTAGAATGTTTTTCACTCAGTGCTTTCTTGTATTTCTTTGGTGCTATTTCTTTTAAACTATGGGCACGGGACTGTACCGCTATACACTAAGGGTCATACCTACACTATTACTTGTTCTGAAACTGTTAATTTTTCTCTTTTTTTACACAACCAGTCAACGGAAATTATTTTTGTTCCTTTTTTCTCAGTTAAAAGTTCTTGTTTTTTCACTTTAAGGTTGTTTTTTTCTTACTTTGAATAATTCTTTAATCATTGACAAGATAAGTTTCAAGACCATTACAAAGCATTTGCTGTTGGTAACAACAGTGTGCTTTAACATCAGTACACCATTACACCTGCCTGTCTGTGTTTTCTGCATTATACTATCAACTAAAACTGGATTTTGTTATATTTTGACTGTCATAATGATCACAATTTATTTTTATTGTTTTGTGAAAAGGTACTGTAAAGAAAGTTTGTGAATGCCTTGAGGAATTGAATGTACAGTTGCTTTATGCTTTTTAGTGTTGATTGTTTTAGAGGAAAGTCTTGTGAATAATTATGAAAGTGAAAAGGTATAAACTGTTTAATTGAAAGCTTTGAGACTTTGTGCCACTTATATGCTCATTAAGATGTTTGACTTTAGTTTTGATGCTTGATGTTATTTCAGTAAAAATGTTATTTTTCAAGGAAGAGCAGCTCAACATTTTTGATGGACAGCTTACGAGAAATGTGACAAATAAATGGCTCAGGAATTAAACTGTGATTCTCATTATTGTGTTTGTGGCTACCCCTGGTGGAGGATATTCTCCTGGCCAGAAACTGAGCTCTCAGAGACAAACATAGGTCAAATGATATATGTGAGCAGTTTGTAATAATAATTGTGTGGTTTCTGTCTTAAAACCATTTTACTGGAATGTGACTAGTTGATCACTATAAAGGCCAAACCTGACCTTTTGTGCTTCTGGTTAAATTTTAAAAGTTTCTGTTGTCATTGTAATGCCTTAGATTACAAATTCTTTTAAAACAGACCTTCTTCATTCACACAGGTAATAAATGTATTTACTTTAAGAAAACAAAGTTTAGAGCCCTTTGTTAACCTAAAAATATAAAGTCTACGGCATCATGGTGCCTAACAACAGTTAAAGAATTACCTAGAATTACCACCTCGTGGTTGTATGCCTCCGCCCACCACCCAAGTTCCAGGAAATGTGGTCACAATCTCCTTTTCCTGTGTTGCATTTTATAATGGCAGAATAATGCACTAATGCAGATGGATGTCACCTTTGATCATTTGGATATAAAAAATCATCACTCCATCATTTTATCCTTTTCGGCATTTGTGTTGAATTGTGCCATAGTTAACAAATTCTTTTGTGAGTTATGGCCAAGGAGTGACCTTGTCCTTTACCCTATAACCACCAAAATCTAATCAGTTCATCCTTGCATCCAAAAGGGTATTTGTGCCAAATTTGAGGGAATTCCCTTGTTCCCAAGACATTGCGTTCACAAAGCTAAAACCGTGTTATCTGCGATCACGTGACCTTGACCTTTGACCTTTGACCACCAAACTCTAACCATTTCTTCCTCGATGGCCAGTGAATTTTGTGCCAAATATGAAGAAATTCCATCGAGACGTTACTGAGGTGTCGTGTTCACGAGAATGAGACGGACGTAAGTATGGACATATGGACAGACAACTCGAAAAAGAGTCTACGGCCATGCTAGCAGCTCTGTGAGACTGCACTGCACAGCAGCCAGTGTTTTGAGTTAAATGCTAATGCTAATGTCAACTTGCTCATAGTGCCAATGCTCATAATTTATATTAGTATATTATTCATATAATTGTATGTATAATGTTTACTATGATCATTGTTTTAGTTTAGCTTGTTAGCATGCTAACATTTACTGTTTACTGTACTGTGTAGTAAATAGGACATGCAGAGAAACACAAGATACAAAAAGAGAGTGACACAGTTTGAGTTATTATTTCAGATTAATTTATAAAATTGAGATACTGTGTTTTAACATACAGTGCACTCTTCTACAATACTTGTGTGTTTCACACACAATTGAGCCCTCAAAGTTTTAACAGCCTTGCCATGTGGTGAATTGAGTCATGAATACTTTGGCATAGTTTAGTGACAGACTATTGGTGAAAAAAGACAAATGTAAACTGCAAATAGATATGGAAATGACTGGTCGATGTCTGAGGGCCTAATTTTAAAAGATTGACTCAGGTTTCATACTGAATTTATAAACAGTCAACATACAAAGTGGATAAATATCAGGAACATTTGCTCTTTTATGTAACAGAGAGTTGAATTCAGGTGGAATCTTCTCTCTGATCCCACTGATTTCACCTGTCTAACAGTCAGATACAGAAGGTCAAAGCCTGAACAAGGATTTTTAAACTTTAAGACAACTGAGACCTGGATTGTACAAAACGAGGTGCAAATCAATATTAGTTCCCCAGTATTCGGCACAGTCAGTGCGACAAAACCCCATCTACTTTACTGTGTGCAGTGTCATTACACATTACTGAAGGTATACAAGTCACAAATAAGCATAGAGTATTTTGCTGATATACAATATTAATATCACTGCTCATTTATCCTCTGTTTAATTACAACTTTTTCACTGATTTTACATCAGCCATGAGTAGGTTTGTTTTTGTAGAGGGAGACACTTCCAGGCAGACTCCGGCAAATAACAGTATGAGCCATTAAAAAAAAAATCAATTCAACTTATCTTACAAGTAAATACTCCTCTGTTGAGACTGTTCCAGCCACGTGTTTGGGAATATTTCAAGCACAGTTCATATTTAAATATCTAAAGCCATTTAAATATGTATTGCTGCCCAGGTCTGGTCCCAGGGAGACGGATAGTGTAGACAGAGAGAGACACGAGACGACTGGAGAAATCAGCAAGCTTCGCCATGTTAAGAAGGCGAGCTGCTGAAAGTTACTTGGCCTGTAGAAAAGTGGGAAGAATGTAAAAATAAATGAAACATTTGAAAGAGGAAGTTTTTCAGATTTCATACATATTATATGCAATGCACTGAACTTGCATGACTAAAGTTTTAAAGACCTACTTATGACTATGAGTTTTCCTCCGCTCCATCACTCCACATTGAGAACCGCCCAGTTATCTTTCTTGTCCTGATGATCAGAGAAGAAGCTCTATTAATGTCTCATGTAACAAGGACATAACATGAAGAGGTACTCTTCTAAACTAATTTAATTCAGAATGATACAAACAGATACAGTAGATCAAAGTGTTAGACTTATTACATTTTATTTTATTACATTTGATACACAGTGTATTGCGGGATTACTGGAGGGTGTAACAGTCATGGAGCTGTAAAGTAGCTTGTGTCTGACCTCTGACATGACAGGCAGGTTGTCATGAGGAAGGAGCCACATGGTTCGGTGGGCCTTGGTTCTCTGTCTCTGCAGGAGTTTTCTCAGCAACCTCTTCACCTTACGGTCTCTGGGGTCTGCACATTTCACCGCTTTCTTTGTGTAAAGACTACAAAAAGAACACAATACTTATTACACAATACAGTATTGAAGTACAAGGTTCTGTTGAACTTTGTGGGAAAAAGGAAGAAACCCAGAATCTGAATCTGTTGTATGCGGAAGCAAGAGAATAGCAAAACCAGTGATTCAGTAATAATGTGGAGGACTACTCCATTACTAAGATGTCTGTCAGGTGTAGCAAAGCATCGGAGAATCACAGAGTTGCTATTAAATGACTGGAATTAGTCAAATACATTTTTTTAATTTTTTGCTGTGGTAGAAAGAAGTCCAACTGTGACCAAAAGTTGAAGAAAAGAGGCTGTTAACCAATGAAATAGAGAAGACCAAAAGAAACTCTTGTATCTATAAGAATTCCATGTTTTTGTTAACTGGACCACATGAAAAAGCAAGCTCTTCATTCCCCAGCTACATCGGATTTCTCTGACCCGCTGGAAACAATAGGTATCACAATGCAGAATGGTTTACTTAACTAAACCCTGCTGTTCTGACTGACTGGCTGCGGCAGGGCTCAGCTGGCTTGGAAGGTATTTTCAGATGGCTTGTTATTCCCACATATTTCCTTTCTTACTTCCCTGGCAATTACAGCTCCGAGCCCTGCCATAACAACATGACCTGGAAAGATGACAATGCCTCTCAGCCCGGCTCTGCCCTCCTCTAACGAGAGGCATATTTTCCATGCCTGCAGATTGCTGTGTTCTCTTTAGCTCCAGGAGTGGATAGTTGAAATACTTGCATGATGGCTTGTATACTGCAGTCGGGCCCCTCCGTCTGCACCTCAAACCGCAACACATCTTTGGTACGCACCTTGCCCTGGGAGTACAACATGCAGCACTGGACATCTCTCTGCATCTGCACACCTTTACCTGGGAAACAAAAGAGGCAAACACAGAGAAACAAGAATGAGAAAGCATTAGGAAAAAAAGAAACTGACAAAGTGACCCTGAAGTTCTTTGGTGTCAATCTCACTTCATCATGCTGGCTTATTGCCTTCTATTTCAGACCTTTTATATTAGCTAACAAGGTCATATCAGAGCGAAATTCTCAAACAGGACACTGAAGCAACAACATGGCAGCCACAAAAGTTTTAAACACTATACATTATTCTACATTATCATTAATTGCATTCAAATCAGATACAGACACATTTTAAAGCCATATTTACTTCATGGGATCATGATTTTTAAGCTCTCTGAAGTCAGTATTCTGGTGTCAGCAAAGACTTAAACACTGTGTTTTGGAAGCTTTTGTAGACAGAAAAAAAATGTTATCTGTTCTGCAGAATGTGCACATGCCATCTGGTTACATATACACACTCACATATGGACACACATATACACACACAAGAATGCCAGAGGAATTACAATGGCATCCCATTGTGCAGCAAAACATACTACCATGCCAGTGAAACGAAAGAGAGAGGGAAAGTGAGAGAAGGAGAGGAGGGAGTGTGTGTTTGTGTGGAGGGTGTGCCATGATGCCTTTTCATCCAAAGCAATTGGGTAAACAAATTAAAGTGTGATGTGAGGCAGCAGGAGCAATAAGAGCTGTAAAATAGGACAGTGCTGCTTTGTTATGCCACAGATGATCTAGAATCCATCCTCAGGCACATCACCGCACTTCCAGCGCTTTCACAACATTTCAAAAAACAGACGAGGTGACACCATCACACAGACTGAGCCCTGACACAGTTGCTGTCTTTCTGTGTGTGTGTTGTGGGATTTCAGATGCTCGTCCTCCTGCCTTCTGCCCCTCTGTTTACATCCATGCCTCCCTCCCTGCTGCTCCTGCTGCTGCTATCCCTCTTTCCCTCTTCTCTCCTTTTTCTGTCTTCGCCATCGCTCTCTTGCTACACTGTCCACCTGCAGGGTGCATGCAAGCCATGCAACACACACACACACACACATACGCACACACACACCCATACAAAGTAAGTATGGCTATGTCCTACCTTCCACAGATGCCAGGAGGATAACAGTCAGAGAGATAACAGTCAACATCTGCAGCATGACCATGATGAGGCTGGCAGAGAGGAGGAGAGGAGAGGAGGATAATCTACTCTGTCACCTCTCCCTCTATGGCTGCCTCTCTTATATTACTCCCTCCCTCTCTTTATACCTCCCTGCCCATCTCTCACTCACTCACTTCCACCACCTCTCTTTTTCTGTCTTACCGTCTTTCCCTCCCACCCTCTGTTTTTCCATTTTCAGTCATTCTCACGCTCAACTAAACTCCCTCCCTCATTCCCTTTCTCTTTCACACTCATCTCACCTCTCACTCATTTCTCCCTTCTTGTTGCCTCACTCAAAATGCCAAGCCTCATTTGTCTCATTTGTGGCTTTAAATTCCTCTTACATCCCACCTCCTCTCTTGTCCTCAGTGCATTTTCTCTGGCAGGACTGAAACAGATTTAGTGGGTGAAACCAACAAGGAATCACCCTGTAGCTTTCGCATCAGCCCTGATTTGGCATTAAAATAGCAATTCATCTCCAAATAATATTCAATTAACCCTGGTATGCAGCTGTATAGTGTAGTTGCGGAAACTCTTAGACTGAAGAGTGGGCGTGTCTCACTTGTGCATCTGGATCAGTCTTGCAGCAGAGTTATGTTCTGTGACGGATTCCAGACAAAATGCCAAAAACACCTAGAAACTGTGATAAAGTGCATTCATTAACTTAGAAAGGAAAACATGTATACATTTATCATGGAAAAAAAATGCAAGTTGTAGATTTGTGATGTTAAATATATCATTAACTTATACCATTAAAACTGAACTCTACCTGTAATTGTGCTTTTGTCATTTGGATTAGCCTCCTGCAAAATCTCAGGGAAGATAAATCAATGCGCTTCTTAAAAAAATCTTCTTAAGACCCATTTGTTTTCTTCAGTTTTCTCTTGATTTTATACATTGTATTCTGTGGGGTTTACACTTAATGGGGCTGTTGTTTGCCTGTTTGTAATGGGAAATGTCCCCTCTTTGCTCATTTTTAAAATGGTGTTCCACAAGATTCTGTCCTTGGCGTCTTGCTGCTTTCAGTTTTTATGCCCCCATCATTCAAGTTATTGTCAAAACAATATTTCCTTCCTAGGCTGATGACACACCACTGTATGTTGAATTTAAACTCACACTGTAGCTTATTTTAAGTGACTCCAGTGATAAATGTCAAATTTTTTTTTTCAACCAAATAAAGACAAATCTTACATGCTTTTGTTTGGCCCTTCCAATCAGACATTTCATTTACATAACAAACTTGGAAGTCTGGCAGCCTATATGAAACCGTTTTCTCGCTTTTATTTCTTTTTTTATGGCTTTGCTCATGCCAATGCATCATTGTCACAGAGTACATGTAATGTATTAGGTCAATAAAGTGATTCTGAAGTTTGAAAAATAAGCCCATAATATGTCTTTGTGAACTCTCCCTGCCAGCCCATAAATCATAATAAAATTGTTACTTAGTTTCATAACTGAACTCAACACTCAAATAAACTTTATCTGAGAGTCAAGCATCTACATCCATTACAGACAGGCTTCAACAGAAAACAGCATCAGGGCCAGAGAAAAACCAGAGAAACTGCCGCAATCAGATAATGCCAACAACAACAACAACAGTGAATGAAATGATCGATCAAAGGCCTGATTATGTACACAAATGTTGTGACATTGCATTGTTGACACAGTGATAGTTGACAAAGTGTTAAATTCTCTTTGGAAATTAATAATTATAACTGATTATAATTCTTATCAATAAGGAAATACATGATTGTGTTGCTATCTACTCTAGCAGGCCTGATTGTCATTATATGGTAATACATAGATAACACCATCCAGAGAGTTATCACAGTAGTGTTGCTCCCTTCACACTTACTATGGCCAGGAAATATTTGAATGTCTTTGACTGTGTTGCCTTTTGCTTGGAGAACTGCTTATTCCCATGTCCTTAAAGGGTCTAGTCACCTAAACTTATGGCAATAGTACAAACTAGCCATGCAGGTAATGTTGGTTTTTCACTTGATGTTGTTTAGAGATATTCACCAGAGGTTCATTATCACCCAAACACAATGGAAGTGAATCATTTGCAGTTTTCAAAGCATCAAAAGAAACATTAGAAAAGCTCAGCAGCAATGTTCAGAAACAATCTCCTTGGTAATTGTAATAATACACAGAATTCACCATCAGCTCGGGGAAAATATGTTTATTTTCCTAATTTGGCTGTACTGTACTCAAATGGACCATGACATCACTGTTAGGTGTGGTTGCAGGTGCAGTTGAGCACATTTCCACCACCCTCCTCATCTGGGGTGGTAAAAAACTTTCATATCAGGAAAACCCTGCTCAAAGCAAAGTATTAAGTGACAAATCCATTATTTTCTATAGTATTTTTAGGACCTTTTATGCCTGTATTATAGGGACACAGTAGAGAAATTACAAAAAAATTAAAATTTACAAATGTGTATTCTTTAATATCATAAATCATAATCATTTCTCTTACTTGGTGTGTACCTAGTGTTATTTTGTTACAGCTTCAGGGACACATTACCAGTTTGTTCAAAAGCTTTTTTATTTCATCGTTTCATCATTCCTGTAAGTTTTCTCGGAATTACTACTAATTAGCCAACACTTGGGATTGTGGGACTGCATCCTTAAATGTCAATACAAGTGTATCGTGTCTTGTGGCTGAATTTAATTCTGATCTACTAAGACTGCTGTTGCATGGTGGAGAAACTTGTATCTCCCCTCAAGTTATTCCTGTTGGATTGACACCAAAGCCTGACATTTATAGTTGCTGGGTTAGATAACTGAAAATGTTTCTGCTCTCATATTCCATTGTAGATATGCTGGAACTTCTGATACAGTGCCATGTTTTTTTTTATGTTTGGCTGGTTATCTGCAAGAAGAACCAAGATACATACATCAACAACCAAAAAAAAAAAAAAAAAAATTCACAGGAATTCAATATTCATTGCTTACAGTCGTTCTTTTACATGACTTACAAAACTCTCTCATTAAAACTACTCAGGTGGTGCCACTAAATAATCTTGCAGAATGAGGTGAAAACTCTTATAAAAGTGTTCCCAAAGTTACATAAAAATATTGAAATTAATTAACCAGGAGTCACCTGTCATACAGGGAAATATTGCTTTGGACTCTAATGTGCAGCATGTAATGAACACATTTTGTACAGTTAGATCAATATTGGACTGCCTGAGTTCCTGTGGTTCAACAGGTCTTAACATAGAACAAATCATTCTCTGGCTCCTGAAACACTTGGTGGAAAAATTAGATTTATTCAGACAACACAGAATCAATATGTTCCTTATGGGCATACATATCAGAACCCTGGGTGTGAAAATATGCAGTATGCACACAGAGGGGTGAGGTTAGGGTAAAAATGTGTATATACATGTGTGTGTATGCGTTGGGGGTGGGGTTAACTGTTGAAGAATTTGACCCAAGAAATCAGGTTGGAATCTCAGCTGCAAAAACATACCTTCCACATGACTACAGGTCTGCTTGTGAGCCAGATGCATTTTCTGCATATCTTTGCAGCGATTAAAATATCTCCTGTCAAGGTGTGCAGACTCACAAACATTTGGAAATCAAATAAATAAATAAATAAAAGCAGCAGCAGCGAACAGTGGAGCTGACAGGCTAATGTCTTCCTCTTTGAGGGGGTGAAGAGCCTGAGATGTACAGTATATAAGGATGGTATGGCCTCCCGGAGATGTTGGAGGGCTTAGTGAACTGCTCTGGACATGCAGCCAGAGATTTTACTGTACCTGAGAGGGATTTCCAAGAGATAAATTGCAGGGGGTAAATACTTTGTATAATCTTTGAAAGTAAGAAAGCTGTATGAAATGCTCCCAATTAAAGGAATAGTTCCAAGTTCTAAACTATTGGATGGGTGGCCATGAAATCTGGTACAGACATTCGTGGTGCCCAGACAATGTGCGTTGATGACTGTGGTGATTCCCTGACTTTTCCTCTAGCGCCACCATGAGGTTCACATTTGTAGTTTTAAATGACACGTCTCAACAGCTATTGGATGGATTGTCATAATATCCCTCATGATGAACAGTACTAACTATCATGATCCCTTACCTTTTCCCATCAGCCTCAGCTGTACATTGTGTTAAACGCTGATTAGCAAATGTTAGCATGCTGACATGCTACAAGTTGGGTAAACATCACGTTCCCATTGTTATTGTGAGCATGTTAGCATTTAGCTCACACCACTACAATGCCTAAGTAAGAGATGCTAGTATGGCTGTACACTTGTTTAAGCTTTGGACAAAGTTTGGCTAGCAGTTTCCACTTGTTTCCAGTTGTTAAGCTAAGCTCATTTCCCCATGGCTTTTTGCTTCCTATTTAGAATACAGATATGAGTATGCTATTGATCTTCTCATCTAACTCACCACTATGTTAAACCATGCCTTTAACTTGAAACTCAAAATCAGCATATTCACATTGTGTAGAAAGACTTGGTTGTATTTTATCTACAGGTGAAATAATTTTACTCTAATCTATTCCTGTGATTGTATTATAAATGTTACTGTAATTTGTTTTACTGGTTTATGTGAAATAACTAAACAGTAAAATAAATGATTTAGCCTAATTTTCACTAACAAAGCCACACAATCAAAGTTTATTCTCTCAGCATGCCATTTATCAGTATGAAGGAGGACCATCAGGCCAGCCAGTCCCAGGGTCATTGTTCATGTTCTGCTCTGGACAGTGGGAGGCTCTACATTTTCTTTTCACATGAGATTTCCTTAATGGAATGTCTTTATTGACTGTGGAAATAAAATGATGTCCAATCCTTCAATATGTGATTATATTTTATTAGAAAAGAGCAATCCATGTTCCCTCTTGCCAGTCAGGCATTCCTCTGCAGGGAGTTGACTGGTGCTCTTCTGAAACCAAACATCTGTGCTTCTCACAGCTCTGTTTCATTACTCCTCGAAACACTAAACCCAGAAAATCAGCTTAAACACACTCAGGCATTTATTTTGAAAATCCCCACTGCAAAAACGAAAGGAGTCTTGACTGTGCCTAGAGTGTGAAACTGAACACTTTGGAAGTGTTTAACAAATGCTGCCAGGAAGAACAACACACATCTCAGGTCTAGAGAGATTCAGATAAATTCCTAATGCAAACTTGAAGCTCTGTGTGATTTTCTCAGTGTCACCGTGTTGAGCAAGATATTTAACCTTCGCCATTTCACCACTGGCTTGTATTGTACTGTGTACATGTCCAAAATGTACTGATGCAGCAGCCAAATGGGGGAGTTCAAATAAATGCTAATTACAGGATATTTATAACTTGATCACTTTTCCAAGAAATTTACTGTTTGTGAAATTGAGAAAAAAAGGGATATAACATACAATGATGTCAGGTTATTGCTCATTATGGAAACCATCTTTGCTCATGTGTAACCTAAAGTTTCTGTGCTCCCAAATAGAGTCTTACTTAAATTGTCCAGGTCAATATTAGCTTATCACATAAGCAAATATGACAGCAGATAACCACCACGAAACAGCAGTAGAAATAGATACGTCTGCGGTCACTTGGTGTCACAACATGTTTGTCCACCAATGAGCATTTAGTTTTATTTTCCAGCTGTATGTACCACTCAGTATATATCATGGTCATAGCTCTTTTATCACCAAATTTCAGGGATCTATCAGCCAATATATTATTAGCCAAAGTGGCCTCACTGTTCATCAATGCACAATATTTGAAACTACCAGAAACCTTGTACAAAAGACATAGAAAATTAAATAGGGCACTGATATTAAAATCCTGAATATTTTCCCTTGCATGCATGTCAGTGTCTTTTGGTCCAATTAACATATCAGACAGGAAGTTCAAATCAGTGCATTTGGCGATATTCCCATAGCCTGATATCACCACTGAGACATCCAAGATGAAAAAACACTAGGCTAGGCTAATACTTGGCCAGAAATGGTGTATATACATTAAAAGAAAAAGAAAGAAGAATTGTTGTCAAGTTTCCTAACATGAAATCAGTTAAACCAAGAAACTCCAATCAGTTAAGATGACATACCATCAACTTTAATACTAGGCAGAAATCCTTGAAACATGTCGACAGGTCAGTACCCTGGACAGTTCCTGCGACAGTTCCCACATCCCTGGAGGTCCCAGCATCAGCACCATGGACAGTGGTCTTAATACACTGCAGAAGGTTAAGAATGATTCACCTGAATTGTACAGTAATTCAAGAAGGAGCTACAGTAAACAATGTAGTTTCCCTAACTGTGAGTGTTAGCGTTCCTTGCACCTGCATTTTTTCACATTTGCAAGATGTTTGATTGAGCAGACTGGTTACCACTGCTGCTAGTTTTCCCAGATTAAAATCAGATTGAGGAAATTACTGTCTGCTACATAATCCTAGTCATTAACACTTGATAATAAGGAAAGCATGTGACATTAAGTAAGAGAAACAACTCCTCAGTCGATGGAGCTCTGTGATTGTGTCTTTCCTGAGAAAAATTGGGTAATTTTACATGTTTTTCTGTTCCAATTATTTATTTTGTGGGTGTGGAAAAGCTGAGGCATTTAAGCCAACAAAAATTGTGACACAGAAAGATAGATCATGTTGCCAGTGCTTGAGGGGTGCTGACCGCAAGGAAAAAGTCAAAAATGATGAAAGAATACATCTTACAGTCTAAATCCCAACAATAAAATAACTGCATTTGTCCTACAATCCATCACGGCACCTTGTGGATAAATATCCTATTTGATAAAGTAATTTTTACATTGGCGCTAAGAGTGTGAAATGCTTTTTTTTTGTTTTCAATGTAATAGTGCATACATAATCAATCACCCTTAAGCCCTTGTGAACTTGTATCTGATCACATAATACAAACATTTGTCTTGCAAATCTCAAATTTACCATAAATTCAGATAGTACTGAACTGTGTTGATGAAGATAGAATGTTTAATTCTGACAGAAACTGCATGTTTAAAACTTAAATTTATTCCATTGTACAATAGTATTTCACAAATATTTACAAATAATGTACACATCCCCAATGATGTCTTAAGTATGAAAAATCTTACTGCCACATTGTAGAAAAGCATTTATAAACATCAAATATGATGGAAATTTTCTTGGATGGTTGCGGATATTCAATGTTCTTATTGGTCTCCTGAAGCAGCCTTTAATCTAGAGTGCCTAGAGAGAAAATAAAGAATTAGTAGAGTGTGTACTGGTACCACTTGAAGTCGATCCAGTCAGTTACATGTGTACACATCTGTATGAGCATGCTAAATAGGGGTTGGAATCACAGAGTAACACAAAATACGATACTATCACAATACGTTGCCCATGATAACGATTTATTTACATTCAGTCTGATTTGCAGCAGACTGCTGACAGCCTGTGTGTGTTTATGCCCAGGTGTGTGTTGGTATGTGAGAGTGAAAATTCTGCTCTCTCTGTTACAGGAAATACAGCCTTGCTGTTGAGACAGCGCTGAGTAGTTAAAGTGTATGAGTGTGTGTGTTTGTGTGCATAACAGCATCTCTGATCTGCTTGGTCTGGCAATGTGTGTGTGTGTGTATGTGTGTGGGGCGTTCATGTTGCGTTGTCCTTATCAATTTTATTTGTGCCATGAGTGTTGTAAAAGCTGAAGTCGGTACAGACTATCAATTTGAAAGAATACGGTACCTCAGATTCAGATTTACATGTAATAACTCTGAACATGGGTGTATTCATGCAATGATGCCAAGCATCTTGAGGATAAGGCTTACCTTCAAGAAATGCAAATTCATCTATGGCCTCTATTGCGTTGTCTGTGGAGGCAAAAGAGAAGAGACATGATTTGATTGAGACGAACAACAACAGAAGATACGAGAATCAAAACTGATTTATAGGTCTTAATTTCCAGCTGATCATACAGATCTAATAAATATCTTAGGTTTGTTAACATACAAGTTAAACATGTTTACCAGTGCAGCAAAACAATCTAATCCCCTCAGCACAACTTTAGTGTGAAATGATTAATGTCCAAGTCCATCAGCTAAACATTAACATCATAAACCCATTTTAAAGCACAGTGATCTTGTATGTAAGAAATTCTTTAGTTTACAGTGCTTACCCAAGTCTTTTCTTTGCAAGGTTTTCCTCTTCCCTTGCTGGGCGTACACCAGGGCATCTTTGGCAATCATCTCAACAAACAACTCCTGGAGGACAAAAAAACCTTTATTATATATTAAAACTAAAACAAACTGAATTGCTTTTTCTATGAAATGTCAGAAAATAGTTAAAGGTGCCCACCATAATTTCCCAAAGCCACTCTTTCCTTACAAAATGTATTATTGTGTAGAGATTTTATTTCATCAATATCTTTAAAAAAGCAAAAAAAAGATGGAGATGGAGTGCATCTTTGATGTCTTTTGTTTGAGACAAACTGCTGCTGTATTTGATAGTAACATTTTGTATATTTTTACAGCCATAGGTTAAATAATTAGATGGCATCTCTACTTCAGTGGTTGTAGGTGGTGTGCAGACCTTGAGAGGTTTGAGGAGTTTATATTAAAAGCTTTACTGAAACAGTATCACACAGACAGAAAGCAGTATGTGTTGCTGGAAGACTTTTACCGTGGCTTTAGCGATGATGAATACAGACTCCTGGCTGGCAAGGGACACGTCTGGGTCGGTCTTCATGAGCGCCTTGATGCGGGCCAGCGGGAGTTTGGACAGTCGGCTGTGGCTCACGGCGGCAGCGGGGCCTGTCTGCTGCTGGCTGCTCTCCTCCTCCGCCTCGGCCCCGCGGCTCTCTTCCTCGCTCCCACAGCGGTCAGGGTCGAGCTCCGTGGGGGTGACAGGCGTTACCACTGTTGCAGCCATTTCCTGGTTATATTCTTTACACAAGAGTTAGATTAAAAAGACACACACACACAAATCACCACCGTTATCGAGCTACATGTCGCACATGACAACATCAGTAGCAGCGCGCCAGCATGTGTTTCCGGCCTCTCGGTGAGGGGCCTGTGTTGATTCGTCAGTCACAATGGAGCCCGGCCTTTTCCTCTCCCGCCAACTAATCCTCATCAGTGATTGGACAGATTGTGAATCAGGACTTGGCGATTGGCTAGAGCCGCACGCCACTCAAAGTACGTTTGGTGGTTCAAGTGTTGGTGACAAATACAAGATATATTTTTTTACTTATTTTGAAAACAATACAATGGATAAGAATATTATCTCCATAATTCAACGATGTATGAGTTTTGGCAACTTCTACATACAGGAAATTAAATGGACGAACCCCAAATTCACTCGCTCTTTTGTCCACTTTGTGTCAGGACAAATCCAGCAGACAAGGACCAACGTCATCCTTCATTTGGAGTCGTGTCAAGTCGTTCTGGCCAACCAACAAAGGTAAATCCAATTTTCACTCCACCTTTTAACTCTGGGCACCAACCCCTGACCGAAATGCTAAAGCTAATGCTAATACTAAATGCTACACTATGTCCACCGGCTTATCATAAACTGTGTCCGTCTACAATGTTGTACTGGTCTAGTGTCTACTGGGTTTAAGAGCTTTCTCGCTGCTTGCTGGACCTGGAAAAGGTGCTGGCGAGGGAGATGGGAGTGAACCAGAAAGTTGAAGGAAATAAAAACAAAACAAGTGAGCTGAAAGATGCTAAAGATGCTCCATAAGGCCAAGAGGAACTTCTGTGTGACTTTGAGCGACTCCTGTCACACGCATGTAGTAATTTGATTCATTGTAATAATGAAATATTCACTATGGAATAAAAATATATTGCAATTCTGAAGGTTAAACTGCAAAATAAAGAAGCAGCTAAGACCTGAACTATTTATAAAACCCACTGACTATATATTAAGATGAACCACTCATCTCTTCCTTCCACTGTACAAAAATGAAACCAAAATATCCTGCATATGGGTGCTGCCACCTTGCACTAGTGAGGTCATTTGGAGCTGGAGTCTGTGCAGTATTGGGTGTTTAGGCAGCCGCTGGGGTGATGGAGATGTTTTAGCTTTACTTTTGAGGAGCTGTTCTTCCATCTTTATGTACAGTCATTAGTAAAATCTAAGGTTATTGAGTAAAATTATCTCTTAACCTCTTAATTTCTTTTTTCCCTCTCCTCCAACATATTAATTTTTTTCTGTTGAATTTAAACAGCTCCCTGTATCCATTAAATATGTAATGTTTATATGTGATATGGCCATGTAATGTTTCAATAATTTACTTTAGACTGTTATGAATTATACAATGTGTATAATTTCCTGGCAACTCATGCTGCTGTGTTTTGAGTTAATGATTGTTTTCAACAAGGATTTACTGGGAAAAGAAAAAAACATGACGTCAAAAAGATCCCAAACATTTAAGAATATCAAATGTAATCTTTATTAAAGGTTGATGATATTAAAGTTTCATGTAATAAAAACTGCAAGAAATTTGCTATAATCAGTAAAAAAGAATGTCTATATTCATGCATTATTTATCATGAGCTTTATCATCAGTATGAAAACTAATAGGCCTATGGGGTGTGATTAGTTCATTCCTTAAAGTGTGTATGCAGCGGTTCCGTTATTTCAGTCTATGTCAGAGAACCTAATGAGTAGTCCACTAATACACTGTGTTAATAGGATTATGAAGAGTGATTTAGTTCTCTGTTGCTCCATTCACATGTTCAGTCACAGTCAGGTGTTACAGCCTGAGGGACAGAAATGAAGGACCCGCAGTTTCCAGGTAAAATTATATATACTTTTTCTTTTGTCTCTGCAGTGTTGTAGTTTGCAGAAAGTTAGAAAGAAAGAAATTAAAACTTTGATTACTTTCTGAGGAGGCATCCTTTATAGTGGGTTTATAAATTGTAAATAATGGCTTCATTAATGGTTAATAAATCATGTTGTATAGATCAGTTATAGACCATCAATAAGATAAATTCTAAACATTTATAAATGCAGACTTGGTGGCTTATTAGAGAGTGAGTATGTACCTTTTTTAATGGATTACCAACCTTTTATAACAGCACTATTCCTATTGACAGCTTCTAACCTAAATCTGTCTTATTAGAAGTCTTTTTTACAATATTTTTTTAGGTTATTTAATATTGAAAATGGCTGATTGGCTGCTAAACATACATCTTCTCTCATTTTTGAATTTACTAGTATACATGGAAAAGCAACAGCACTTTATAAAATCAATCATGCAGAAATTTTGAATGGTAGCTGATTAAACAATGGAGTAAACAATAAGTAAGTGTTTGCAAGATGATTACATTATTATTAAAATCAATGTGATTTACATTAAAATGCCCACATCAACAAATAACATGTATAGAAGAGTATAATGAATAGAGTAAAAGAAAGTGAAACAAGAAAAGAGAGAAAAAAGTTTAGTTTGTTTTGCTAATGTCAAACTGACCCAAGTGTTGAGGTTAATCATCTTCTCTTTAGTGCAGTATAAAGCCTTCTACACTCAGAAGTGGCCCACTAATACTGAATCTAAAAGAAGCAAGTAATCCTGCACTTTGAGAACTGAGCTTACCGTCCTCTAAATTTAACCCACAATGACCAGGAGGAGCCACAGCTTCATTACACTTTAAATTTACAGTTTAATCATTCAGTTTATGTTTAAATAATTATTGCTCTTGTTGATTATTGTCTGCTTTGTTTATTTCTTTAACCCCCTTTTTCATGTGTGCGTAGACGTTACACCTGCTCTGTAAGACGCCCACACAGCAAACGTTTGATATCTGACCTTATCATCCGTTGCTCTTTGTGTAATGCTGGAACCATAAAATAAATGTTTCCCATAAAACCAAAGAAACAGGGTGTAATGTTTACATAAAAAGAGTGGCAAAGTACTCTCCTGCTTGGGAGGAAAATGAATAGTTTGGCCAGTCTTTAAAAGAAATGTGCTGAGTCTCGAGAACTGTGTCCAAAGAGCAGGAACAGATAAAAACAGGAAAGGTCGACACATCCGGCTTTTGTTAGTCATAAAAAGTGAAAACATTGGCTACATGTTGAAAATGATTTAACACAGTCCAAAAATATATCAGCTTCTGTGCAGACCAGCAAGACTAATAAAACTCTAGTCACAACATTGACACCACAACAGTGTAGGAGTTGTAAGTCCTTGTCAAATAAAATACAAAAGCAGAGCTACCCCTGCATTCTGCGAACAGAAGAGAGTGCTGCATGTCTGAAACAAAATATAACATTAGTAAATATTCATATATGTAAATCAACTTAAAATTTACATAATCAGTTATTGTTTACTTCCATCTCATTTTCACCAACAGACACCGACTTACAAATTAAGATGCAGGCCAAGGCTGATGTAAAAGAGGCCAGACGTTTTACCTCATTCAGGACAAAGTGAGTTAACATGGAGGTTAATCTCATTACCAATGTCCTATACACGGAACGGTTACACTACCTGTCTGCACGATGACTTTTGTAAGAGTTAAGCAGTCTAATGCTGGTGACAGAGCAAGGGAAAAAAATAGAAGATAAAGGTTTGTGTTTAAGACTTCCTCAATAAAAGTGATGACTATTATTAGAAAAGTACATTTATCCGAACATGTTTTCTGCTGTTTCACACAACATTATTACCACCTTATTCCTGCAGGCCTCTGAAAAGAAAGTCAAATCTCTCCACTGATGTCAAACTCTTTCTTGAATTTTGTTCCCAAGCCATCAAAACGAGGCTATGGCCGAAGCAGAAGGCAAGCAAAAAATCCAAAGATGAGGCTCAGAAGGTGGAAAAGACAACCGAGCCGTTGGCCTCTACTGCCGTCTGTGCCTTCCCACAGCTGACCGAAGCAGAGAGAATGAGGCAGTCACCGTTTGAGAGTGTGGTATATGACATGGCCCACAACGAGAAGATCATCAACGACCTGATACTTGGTCGAAGGGTTGGCTTCTATGAGCTGCGTGGAGAGATTGGGCAGGGTAACTTCTCTACAGTCAGGCTGGGCATCCATGCCTTGACGAAAGGTCAGAAACCATGAGTTGTTTAAGTCTCTGTTAATATTCATGTTTTCTGGTTTATGTCTAACTTATATATAATAATAATATAAAGCATTCCCTTCTGTCCAGTCTGGGCGATCCACACCTTTTACCGTTATGAACAAGTCTGGCCTTGAGGGAATAGTAGTTGTAGATAAATAATATTACAGGTTTGTGAATAATGTTCATGTCAGTAGACAACAACTGATCCCCTGAATAAGACTTTCGGATCAACCTAGATCTTCCCTGACCCCTGCAGTGAATTTATTTTCTGTTGAAATTAAACCCATATATGCACTCTGACTTGTTCAAGGAGGGTTCTTGATTCTTAGCCACATTTTTGTCATACCTTAGAATAATGCTGCAACAATCTTCCAATTAAATTAGTTGCTGAGTAAATTCTTTCAGTCTTCTCATATGTAGCAGTGGCAAACACATCCCTATTTTCTTGTGTGTTTAAATCTCCTAAGCATGTCTCTGCCCTTATTTTGACCTTTCACTTCATCAGACCCTCTCTAAATCCACCACTGACATCTAAGCCTCCCCCTCCTCTTCTGTCTCAGAGAGAGTAGCTGTTAAAGTCATGGACAAGCTGCGTCTGGAGAAGAAGAGCCGGCCTATGACTTCCTCAGAAATCAGCTGCATGGAGAAGCTGTGCCACCCCAACATAGTGCGCCTTTACGAGGTGATCGAGACCAGCCGGAAACTGTATCTGGTGATGGAGTATGGCAGCGGTGGAGACCTGTTCTCCCGGATCACCACCAGGGGGAAGCTTAACGATCTGGAAGCCAAGCTGGTCTTTGCACAAGTCATCTCTGCTGTTAAACACATGGTGAGCTTCACTGTCTCTGCAACCCGTCGTCTGTTGTACAGCATGAATCTGCACAACACAGAGACACACAGAGATAGTTTTAGTTACTTTACATACAGTTAGGCAGTTTAGCCCAATGGTTTCCAACCTAGGGCTTGGCTTCTCTCTAAGTTTAGCTTTTATTGTGAAATATTGGATAATTTTACCTTACCTATAATTTGACCTGAAACCATCTGAGAAGTTTAGAGGGAAAAATCACCCTTAGATTGAACTCACAGTTACACACATAAACAGTGCTTTGTATTTTATAAGCTTACAGTATCCTTTTTTGATATAAAGTCTTAGTTTGAAAAGCAACTAGTAACTATAACTTGCAGATATATAGTGGTGAAAAAGTTTAATATTTGTCTCTGAAGGTAGAAGAAAATGGAAATAGAAGTAAAAGTATCTCCAACTTGTACTGAAGTACATAGTTTGAGTAAATATACTTAGTTATTTTCCACTACTGATAATAATAATGTTAATAATTGAATGCTTTAAAGTTTCAATGTGTTGCTAATCCAAATAGAACAATTACAAAAAATAACAGGAAAGTGTCACTCATTATTGTTGTTCAGTTCTTTTCAGATTGTCAACCCTTTCTTTCCCTGAAAGGAAATATAAAATGCCAAAACAGAACCCTTACTGACTTTTTAAAATCTGTTTGTGCTGTTTCAGCATGACCACAACATCATCCACAGAGACCTTAAGGCAGAAAACATCTTCTACACCACCAGCTACTGCATCAAGGTAGGAGATTTCGGCTTCAGCACAGAGAGCAGCCCTAATGAGCTCCTCACCAACTTCTGTGGCTCTCCACCTTATGCTGCTCCTGAACTGTTCAAGGAAAAAGGCTACATTGGACTCTATTCTGATATTTGGGCTTTAGGTATTCTCTTGTACTTCATCGTGACGGCCACTATGCCCTTTTATGGGGACAACCTGGGGAGGCTGAAGCGCTGCATCCTCCAGGGGGCTTACAGTATCCCTGCTTTTGTGCTCGAGCCATGCCAGCTGGTCATTAAGGGCATGCTGCGGCCTGTGCCTTCTGATCGCTCCTCTCTCACACAGGTTACAAACAGTGCTTGGCTGAGGGGGATTGAGTACCCTCCTCCGTATGTCTTGTTGCCCATGTCTCCGGCCCACTTTGCCCAGGCCGGCCAGGCTCTGTGTATGGAGGAGCAGGAGGTGAAGAGTTTGCTGTCAGATCTAGGCATCGTGACAGTTCATTTCCAAAACAATCCCTGTTTAGATTATAAGAGCCCGTTGACGGGGACCTACCGGATCCTCCTCCATCGGGTCCAGAAGAGGAGGTCAGTGGAGGCTGTAGGTTATTCAGCGCTTCAACCTGATGAGTATAGGAGCCTGAAGAAGTGGTCTGCAGCACCTGTGGACAAACACAATCCATCTGCTGTCTGTGTTGTACTGTAATGAAAAATAACTGGACTGCTTTAGTTGTGGCAACACAGGCACTTTATCACATGCACATGTGTTCATTAGTAGTCTTCAACTTGTATTGTGCAATACTGGACTGAAATGCTACGCACACATGGAGGTTGAGGTCTTCTGTCCCACATAAAGTTCACAGACGAGGGCACCTCTCTTAAGTAATTAGCTATAGCTTTCTGTTCTGATTATGTCACCACCAACAAGCTTACTGACGCAAAACGTTCATCAGTCATTGTATGGCTATCAGCATCTTCCAATCCCTCTTAGTCAGAGCATAAATCTACTGAGCTAATCCAAGGCCACAGCTAATCCTAACAAGGGAGACACTGAGAACATGCTTGGTCCAACAGAAATGAAACATGAGACTATGAGTGTGAAAAAAACATGTCCTGGGAAAAACAATGACATTAGGCATAAAACAAAATTATGACCACATAAGGCCAGAGCTATAAACAAAATGTAACCAGTCTTAAATGTTTGTCTGATGCCTAAAATGCCTTCATTTAGTCTAGATGTTTATTTAAAAACTTTCTAAATAAGATACACATTTTATGACTGTGACAAAAAAAAAAGTCTGGAGCACACAGATTGTTTTAAATTTCGCACAATTTAATCTAATTTTGTTAATATCTATTTTGAGTATTGTGCTTATGTTTTAAGGCAAGACTTTCATAAATGCTTCATGGACACAGGTCTAAATTTACTGCCACTCTGTATTAACAGTTATAGTAATCAATAAGGCCAAATTCACTCATCATAATAAAAGTATTTTCAAACAATTATTTTAAATTGTTTCCTTTCAGATCTTCTCATCTGGATACTATCCTCTGGCTCTATCTGTCCAGCAGGAGGCATGTTGTTACAGGATAATGATAATATTATTTTTCTGCTGCATGGACCATTTACAAAGAGATTTCTACTGGGATGTTGTATGATTCCTTGCTTTCTTGTGAGCCCTGATGTTTGGCTCTTGAGCCAGTGTGCAGAGATTTTGGAGCCATCTCAAGCACACATAAAAGCTGATAGTAAAATATGATGCTTTTCTATATCTGTGAATTCTACAGAATTATGAGTGAGTTCCTCTGAGACAGACAATTTTATTCCATTCCAATCTGGGAAGTCAAACTTGGAAAGCTCTTTCTCCACGTAATGGCCCTTCAGTTCCAATTCACCCCACATGTGAATTTCCCCTTAGGGTACAACAGTCTCTAAGACCGGCATCACACTTTGCCTGTTACCGTCACCTTGCAATTCTGCCAGAGTCTGCATGCCCCTGCTGAGATTCTGATAAGCTTTATATTTTCCAATAAATTTTTGAACTCCCATCCAACAGCCTGTTCACACAGGAATGCTTACACGTTGTGTGGGCAGGAGCAGAAATTGAAAGGGATTAACAAGGTCCCTATGAGTGCCAAGGAGGAGTCTTGACTTGTTGTTTATTTAGGAATCCTGCTCTTGCTCAATATCCATGGTGTGAAACTCCCTCTTATCATTTTCACTTGTGCAAAATAATGCTCATCGTTACATTAAAAATGAAAGTCAAACAACACACTGACAGGGAATTCAATAACAAAATCTCTCTCCTTGGAAAAACACATTTCGAAAGGGTGATGCTGATGCATCAAAGAAAGAAAGTAAGTTGTTTAGACCAGAGTATATCATTTAACTTTAGGTGATCAGGTGGTGTAAGGTGGATTACCATGATATGTCAACATACACAGAAGCTTACCCTTAGCTAAACATTAAAGCCTGAAACTAAAACAGCATATCTTCAGTCTGTTCAGATAATGACAGGGCTGAGTTTTCACTGACTGGGAGAGAATAACGTCTTAATCTGTGCAGAATCTGCTGTTAATACTGCAACACATAAATAAGAAAAACAAAAGATATTAAAATTTGTATCTTCGATTTACTCACAAACCCCTGCTTGAACGAAAAAGTGCTTAGTAAAATAATGTTTAAACCATTACTCATCTACAAACATTTTCATATGAAATATATTCTTTCTTTATCTGTACCTTTCCATACCCTCTGGAATTATCATGACCAGCCAAAAGATCAACTGTAAAAGCAAGTCAGCATTTGTGGGTAATTGCATTTGGCAGTGAAAGAGCAGCCTTGAGCTCTGGATGTAGCACAAATCAGTTCATAAAAACAGGGTCAAGATGGTTGCGAAAGAGTAACCACCCTGCCATATAAAGACTATCCTTTTTTATGATATACTGATGGGTTTTTAATAAAAACCAACATAAAGTGTCTCAATAAAGTGTTGGGTCACCAGGTGCTGCCAAAACAGCTTCAGTACTCCCTGACGATAATTCTACGAGTCTCTGACCTCTATTGGAGGAATGAGCACCACTCTTCCAAAAGATATTCCCTCACTTGGTGTTTTGATGATGGTGATGAAGAGCGCTGTCTAACACGCCGGTCTAAAATCTCCCATAGGTGTTCAACTGTGTTTAGATCTGGTGACTGGTCTGATGAGACCTCCCATTCATCCGACCATTCAGTGACCCCTCGTGCCCTATGGATGGGGGCATTATCATCCTGCATTACCATCAGGATAGAAATGTTTTATCATAGGATAAAGGTGATCACTCAGTACAACTTTGTATTGATTTGCAGTGATCCAAACCATGCCAGCATGCCAGCAAAATGCCCCCCACATCATAACAAAGCCACCTCTGACATTCTGGCCTGTACTGATCTCTTACACAACATGGGTAAGTACTGACTTGTCAAGGACATGATGAAGGAAAACTCACCTAACCATATCACTTTTTTCCACATCTCTGTAGACCATTGTCTATGGCTTTTGCACCACTCAACTCTCACATGTGCATTCATCTTTGTAACGAGGGGTTTATGCACTGCAACCCTACTATAATGTCCCTCTCTATGTAATTGTCGATGGACTCTTCTTGCTGACACAGTCAGATCACATCCTGCATTGACATTTTCAGTCACCTAAATGCAGATGAAACTTTATTCACTGTTCCAATTGAAATTGCTAGAGAGAGTTTCACTTTTATCAGAAATCAGTTTGATAGCATCAGGAACTGAGTCACTAATACTGGGCCTTTATTTACATTTGTCAGTGCATGACCAGTTTTCCTGTATTCTGTAGTCTTGTTTCTAATCAGTAGCTGCTGAAGCTAGAAGCCACTGCATATGTGTAATGTTCCGTAGACAGACAAGAAATTACGAGATGCACAGCTGGCGTGAGATCTAACACATCTCTGTTATTCTCGCATAACGAATGATAAATGCTCATGTGTTTTCGGGAAGGCAGCCCAGAATCTGCAGGTGAAGTCATATTTCCAGACAGCTTATTATCTTTGCCACATTAACTGGGTCTTTAGCATACACTGAACCAAAAAGAGGGTCAACTGTGCCACTGCTTTGTTAATGCTTTATGGTGTGAAAAACAAAGATCACTGTAGCTCTGCTCTTGGCAATACTTGCATTTTTTGTTTTCTATCATGGCCTGGTGTCTTCCTCTCACGATTGTCCAATTCAGTAACTCAGTTTCTAAATGATCAGATTGGCACAGTGCACAATCTGGAGACTCGCTCTACTTCCCCTTAATATCTCTTACATAGTGTTTATTGAATAAATGTATGTGTAAAGTTAAATCAGTTTTGACCAATGTGTGAAAGTTGAGAATTTTGAAATCCTGAATTCACTTCCTAATTGTGGTATGCTGGTATAGGTTTGGTAACATGCTAACACGGCAGATTGATTCTCTTGCTGTTTTCTAAATCCATCCTGGATACTAACAATTCTAAGCAGGTTTTGAGTGTTTTCACATGGAAAAGTTACAAAAAAAAGTACACTCAAAAAGGCTGGGCTGCACACTAGAAATTCTGCTGGGTTTTTGAGTGTGCTGCTGATGTACCCCATTGTCTCAAAATGCAATCCACAAAGGAAATAGAGTTCTTACTCACAACTGGAAGACATTAAAACTAAAAGTGAAGTAAATTGCGACACAGTTTCCGTAAAAAGCATCTGAGGTTTGGTTTCTTTGGGTTTTTTAAAGATTATTTTTCTTGCATTTTTGCCTTTTATTGATATTATTTAGCTGAGTGTCAAACAGGCAATGTGAAGAGCAAGATAAGGGGATAACAAGCAAGAAAAACTGACAGTTGGCTTCGAACCAGGGACAGTGTGGTTCAGATTGTACATGTCTTTACCCCTAGGCCACCATAAAGCCCTGTACTTGTTGGTTATGTTTGAAGACATTTCACAATCCATCCATTCACTTCTACTAAATGTGTGACATCTTGCATGACATCTTTGATGAGTGATTTGAAGACATTCTCAACTACAATCCCACCAGCTGCAAGGTTGGATTCACTTTGTGTCAATATGTTTAATATCTCAACTGGGACCTGCAGTATTATGTAATGTTGACGTCTTTTCTGTATGATGAAGGGACCAGTGCTCATTTTTCAAAATAAAGGTATGTTTGATGAACAGAAAACCTATGGAGTGCATGTGCAAAATATACTGAGGCTGCCATCTATAATATGCTGTCCTGTGTGTACTGAACTGAACTTCAACAGCAACAGATGCTACAGCAATTTTTTTCCCAGACATTTTAAAGGATTGCTTCACAAGTGCACACTGGAAAAATTTTGTTTGTTGTAGTTGTTGTAATCATTCCTCCTGTTTATGGTTTTGGACAAAATCCACAGTCCTCATACAGTGAAAACCTATTTCGAAAAGTTTCGACTTGAGCAGATTGAGTTTATCAAATCAAGTGGGTATCTTCCAAAGTCCAAGTTTCTTTTTTACAACAAAGTTCCCTGTAATTCAGCAAGGAAACACTGTACAGTAAAACACAAAGACGGAACTTTATACTAAACAAACAAACAAACTTTATACAGTTATTTGATGAACTAATGCTGCTGAAGCCTTGTAATTTCTTCATATAAACTTTAATATTTCGCAACAGAATGAGGGCTGCTGATTTTGTCCACTACACTGAAATCGTGTTAGGAAGGGAAGGAAGGGATCTCTTCCCGAACAGGAGGAATGATTACAGCAAATACAAATTGTTCCAGTGTACATATGGGCCCTTGTGAAGCAACCCTTTAAATGTTTGGGCAAAAAATTAGCTGTTTGATCTGTTGCCATTGAAGTTCAGTTCAGTACACACACACAAGCACATAATGAAGGGATCAGTTTACAGCCAGTATGAACAGGAGGACTAAACCTGCTTCAAGGTACATTTGAAAATCTGACAGATATTTTAAGACAGATTTGTGAATGGTGAACTGTTAATCCATCCATGTTGGACTGGATGGTTGAGAATCTGTCAGATTTCCAACTGTCACATCAATCCTTTACCATCATCCTTATCAACCAGCCATTGACAACAAGCTTTGGGTTAGTGAGTTGTTGACCAACTGGTGTGAGAGCCAGGTTTTAAAGGCTTGAAATCTTTATCATGTTGTCAGTTATTGGCTCAAGTTGATGCCAAATATAAACTAATTGAGAGATTACTGGAATACAGGAAGTTTCCCCCCCCTTAAAACACACACACGCACACACACACACACACACACACACACACACACACACACAGCCCAAAATCAACGTTGGGATGACCAAATTCGAAAGAAATTATTCAAAGCAGCTTGATGTTGAATGTTTTTCTGATGAACTATTACAAAACCCAGAGTCTTTGTTTTGCTTTTTCTTTATTTGATAGAGAAAGACACAAAATGCAATAATACAAAAATATGGGAATCTGTTCTATATAAAAAAAACTCTCAGCTTAATCCCATATGTATGTGTAACATATACATCACACACACACTTACACATACACACACAAACATTTCAAAGCTGCCAAATAGTGGCTCATTCCTAGCTGGCTCTAAATATCACAAAACTGAACAGTAACATAGGGATGGCTCATATAAATGAATTTCGCAATAGTGGCTATAGCATATGGTAAGTAGTTACATGTTTTAGTGAACCGTGTACATGATTTAAATCCTCTGTCAGCAACAGGAAATTCCTAATCTATTGAAACATAATCCATCTGTGCACAGGTGATATATGATGCATGAGAGGTAACAGCTGCTCTCCTCTTTCCCATTCTTCTCTTCTTTCTCTCCTTTGAGTAGTTTACAAAGACAAAAGTTTTATGATGAAGAATTTGCATGGTCAGTGGGTCAGTAAAGTATTAAATTGTCATTGTGTAAGTATGTTGTGTAACTTTTTACCTATTGAATAGCCACAGTCTTAAGCATGTCCTGGACCCAACCATCATGTGGATTGGCACAGACAGTCCGTTGTTTTTTATCTTTTTGTGAACGCCTCCTCTTCACCAGAAACCTGCACATATTACAAATTATGTAATGTTGTCAGGCTCACTGCACAATTTTCAAGAGCAACCAAAGACACGAGTGTGCACATTAAAAAGTGCTGCTGCAACTTTGGATCAGTCACTTCAGTCACAGTAAGCAGGCTGTTTCTTTTTCCCTTGGTCTTTGCCAAATTATTATAGTAGGAAGTTTTATCAATGTATAAACAAAATGCTCAGTAAGAGCCAAAATTGAGGAGGCATAACCTTTGTTACTTACACAACAGCTCTGATGTTGCAATCACCATCTGTTTCCTGCATCCTGTAACTTTCGATGTTTTTCTTTACATTTGCTTTAATTCGCCGAACATAGCCAAGGCAGCAGTTACCATATGAGCCTGGGAAAGACACGAAGTTAGTGAAAGTTAGAGAGATAAACCCCCCCTCTTAAAACTGTCACTGTCAAGGAAATATGTGTGCACTCTTATTAGTGTCTCAAGAGAAAACAGTGCAGCTCAATTTGAACTTGTCCTTTTTATGTCTGTGTTTACTGGAATGACTGTAACCTTATGAATAAAAAGTGTCAAAGTGAACACTCTTCAGTCCTGATGTTGTCAAATGTTTGTAATTTGTAAACTACTGACTCAAAGTTACCAGGAAAATCATAATCATGGGTCTCACAAATCAAAAATTCAATAATCTATCATGAAATTTTTATTCTGAGGTGAAGCCAACATCTCCCATCTTCACCATCCCTGCCTCATTAACACAGTTGGTTGTGGTTTTTTCAGGACATCATTAGTTTATGTAGACATTGAGATACCATGTATATTTTAGTCATTATATCTATTTCTCCTGTCAGTTTTGTTTACAACAAACTTGGCAGCAGATTTTGCAACATGAAGAGATAAAAGGTGAACAAAACCTGATTTTATCAGAAAGTTATCTCCCCATCAGGGCTGTAGCTGTGATTGAAGATACTGATGTTATGTCTTTGGTACTTTATTTCTGAGACTTTTGAGGTTTTAGCAACTTGAGGGGTGTCTACATCTGACACAAAACATGGAGGATATTTTATAGGCTGATAGATAAAGGATTCATTATTTTTTGAAAAGACATTTAATCCTGGCAATATGGAGAGGGCTTTGAAACAGATTTAGACCCTTATGTTGGGAAATGATAATTTGAGAAAATGAAGAAACACATAAAATGTCCAGATAATTGCATTGGCTTAGTGTTTTTTGTTGTCAAAATTTACTGAGGTGGGGAGTGCATTGGGGGGACACAGACTCAGTTTTTGTGAGGATACAGTCCCGCTTGATCAGTTCATCTCAGTGGTCATTGGGTTATTAGGTATTTAATTTATTTATCATCCGTTACATGAGGAGATGGAACCTGTTTCTGTAGGAATGACTAATTGTTTCTTGGAACATAATTTCTTAAATAGTTTAACAGGCACATTTTCTTTTAACTTAACTTTTACAATGTTTTTTTTATTTTTACTTTTATTTTTATTTTTTTTTTTATAGCATGTTCTCTTCCATCTGGTCATTTATCTTTGACCTTGTAGTCTGCATGTGAAGTTCCAAATAACGTTACCTCTGCTACATTAAAATGCCAGCTTTCTGAAGACTGAAAATATTTGGGGCTAGAATGAAGCCCCAATTAATTGGCTGCCATATATCAGCATCTCAGTGGTGAGGTACTGATGTTGTTTGATAAAGAAATTGTCAGTTTTACTCAGGTGTCAACGCAATGTGTCCATGATCAAAAATTCCCCATTTGTGCTGTGATTTGCTGATTGCGAGATGTTTATCTTTACTTAATTGAAATAATGTATGCTCTTTTGTATTTTTAAAACACATCACGAGATCACCACATCAAAGTGGTCTCTAAGAGCAAGCCAAGACAGATTACACTTTGGTATGAAGTGTTGTGGTTAATGGTTTTCAGCAGAATAATTCACCTCATTGAAAGACAGGATTTAGTAATAACATAAAAAGGAATCTGGATTTTGAAATACAGCTGAAACCAAATCCATGCCATCTACATTTTGCAGTTATAATATCATAGTTGGGGTGTGAATCACATCCAACCTGTTCCTCTTACCTTGTGCCAGACTCAGGTACATGCTGGTGAGGAGCAGAAGGAAGAAAAGAGCTTGAAACTTCATGGCTGCTGTTGCTGCTGCTGCTGTTCTTGTTGTGTGGCTTGCTGCACAGAGACAAACAGATTAAATAAAAAACCAGACCAAAACAGAAAATTGGAAGCAGAGACTTCCACCCCCTCTGCCTTGTGAACTTTGGCTGTTGATGTTCTCCATCACAAACATCCCATCTGTGCTCTTGTGAAAGAAAAAGGTTTTTTCTTTGACCCCTGATTAAAAATATTTAAGTCCTGGTTTCCTGCTGTGTGCAGCTGTTTCATCTCCAGCGTTCTGAGTGTTGTTTTACTGAAACCAGGCGAGTTTGTGATGAATTATGGCTGGATTCCCCTCCCTGCACCTATCTCTGACACCTTATTAAACTCAGTACTCGGAGTGCACAACAACATGTCTGTAAAGTCCAGATTTCAAAAGCACCAAGAATAACATGAGGGAGCAGTTTCCTAAGCATGCAGAGAAACATACCTGTTCACATTCACTTTTTCACAAGATGTCCTGGGAGGAAAAACCTTTATCCAGTGCAGCTTGTGGTGGCTCTCTTATAGCGGACACGGAAAAACTGCCCTCCCCCAACACTCTGTCCTTGACACACCTCCTCAACAATCAACAGTTTTACAGTTGCTCAGTTGAAGCACAAATTCACTGAATCCCACAAAGCAAATTAAACTTTTTACAACTCTCATGATATTTGTAAGGAAGGTAATCTATACAGTCTATTTTATTGAAAATAAAATTAAGCTGGGTTTTTTCATTGCTCTGGTCTAAGACTGACACATTGATTACCAGTGGTGTGTTAGTTATTATCATGTTCTCATTTCTGATGAGGGACATGAGAATAATCCTGCAACTGAGACAAAGTAAAATGACATAAAACAATAACATAATACTTAACTGAAAAGTATATTCTTGTCCTGCTCAGCAATGGTGTAGCATATCTGGACCTGGTAGAGATGTGCATTCCACAGCCACCGGAAAACTACCTCTTCACACAAAGACTGATCTAAACTCATGGTACTAAAGCTGTCCAGATATGGCACCCTTTCAGAGTTGGTTTATTGTCTGTCTGTTAAGTAGAAATTACATCTAATGAACTGGATTAGTACACTTTTGGTTCCCTCTACAGCTGCAACCATCTTGCATGCAAGAAAAGAAAAGAGAAGAAAAGAAAAGAGAAGAAAAGAAAAGAAAAGAAAAGAAAAGAAGTTCATTTAACTAAGTAACAACATACTGAATGTGCGTAATGAGTATATTACTTATTACTATTTATTGTATTTTGGTTAGCAGCAGTGGGGGTGATGGGGGCTATTCATGTAAAGACAATACTTAAAACAAGGTCCAAGTAGAGACAGCCTGAGGAATGTTAAAGGAACTACAGAGAATAATATTCTCATAAAGACACTTGGCTTACTGGACTGATTCCTCTTCTCCAAATATGGCTGGGTTTGATATGTCTTAGGAGTAATTCCTTCGATGTTTTTGGGTCTTGAGATAGCACTTTTGCCGTTAACTGGGGGGTTTCCGAGTCTACAGAAATATGGACTTAGCGATGACTGATCCTACACATGGGGCCATATCCAGAATTTCAGGAATACTGAAGTCATGAATGCAATTCACTGCAGTGTAACAATTCCCTGTGTCTCCTACAGAAAAGGCAAGTCACAAAAAGTGAAGTTTTTAAAATGATGTGAATGATTTGTATTTTTAATGTTTTATTTATTATGAACTTTTGATCTATATATTCTGTAAATTTTATTGTTCAACATAAACATCTTAACATATCTTATCTATATCTAAACTGGCGCCCATGTGTAGAGGCTACAGTCCTCGCTGCAGTTGGCCCCGGTTCGAGTCCCGCATCGGACGGCCCTTTGCTGCATGTCATTCCCCCTCTCTCTGCCTCCCCATTTCCTGTCTCTCTACTGTACTATCAAATAAAGGAATAAAAAAGCCCCCCAAAAAAAAAATATATATATTGGAATCAGACTATAAAATCCATTGTAGAACCTCAGTGTCCTCAGTGTTTTCTGAGGAATTAGTTAACAATCAATGTTTGGGTATATACATACTTTTGGCCATATAATGTATTAAACATTAATCTGTATAACATTAATAAATCATTCATTCAATCTTTCATTATTTTACACATACACCTAAACAACATTTGGCACTGCTCAGGGTCATGATTCAGACAACATCCCATTAACACTAACATTTGAAAGCAATCAAATCACTGCAGGTATGAGTGGAATAGGAACTAAACATAAAGCCTTGGTTCTTTCTTTAGAACATATTTTCTACTACTAAATGCTATAACCATCACTTCTCTTCCAGTAAGACTTTCTCCTAGATTTGGAAACCTAAAAACTGGGATTTCCTGCCATTCAGCCACAAGAACATTAGTGAGGTCAGGCACTAATTGGAGGTGACAAGGTCAGGGTTTGCAGTCGGAGTTCCAGTTTCTCCCAAAGGTGTTGAATGGAACTGAGGTCCAGACTCTGTGCAGCCTGGTCAAATTCTTCCACTCTAATCTGGGAAAAACATTTCTTTAATGACCTGCTTTGTGCACAAGGTCATGTCATTTTGAAACAGGAAGAAGACACCCCCCCCCCCATTATACACACACAAGAAAACAGAAGAGGGCAATGTGATTTCACTAGGAGTGGTTCCACAATAACAAGACAAGTGTCTATTTTCTTCTCATGGTAAGATTTTTTGGAGGTGTGTGTGCCTCTTGATGATTGCCTTATCCATACAGTTGGAAATACACTATTGATAATGATAATAACAAACTTTATCTATAGAGCACTTTTCATAAAAGAGATGTAGCTCAAAGTGCTTCACATTAAAAAAATCAAATAGCACAATAATAAGAGTGAATTAGAGGACAATGAAAATGGAAAATCGAAAGAGAGTAGATGATAAAATATGTAAATGAAAATAAAAAATAAAAACAGTAAGAATAGTGAAATAAGAGAGAATTAATTGAAAGCCAACCTGTTGTTAAAAAATGTTCACTGAGCCTGCATCTCTTTTAGCTCTTGGCGGAGAGAGCCTGGCACGCTGTTGTCTTTAATGTAACTGTAACTGCAACATCAAACTCCATTCAACACAGGTAATAACACTAACAATGGCTCTGTTGTGTAGTAGTGTAGTAAATTAAATTAAGTAAATTAAGTGACAGTGTGTCAGTGGGACAGCATGCACAATACTAGGACCCTGAACCTGAAGTAGCTAAGTGGTACTCAGCCATCATTCATGTTTCCCTGTAATGTAGCTAGTGGAGTAGAAATATAAACACAAAAAAAAGTACACAAAATCAGTACTTAACCTCTCAAACCTCCCCAGTCATAGTCATAGTGTATTATTCAGTGTACACATCATATAGCTTGATACAGACCATATAATATTGTTCGTCTACTTAACTGAAAACATGGGAAGACTGTATGCTGAGGGTTTATTTACAATACTTGAGTAAATGTAGTTTGGTTCACAGATTGACAAAATAATAATAAATGAATGAATGAATGAATTAATTAATTAGAAGCACTACGGTGTCATCTAGCGGTCAGAATAGGAACTGCCTTAGCGCAAAAAAAAAAATCCCTTCCACTGATCCAGTCCTGTTGTATGGATGCAGTCCATTACTCCATGTTACCCTGACCAGGATTTCCAGAACAATCAGCGACACCTCCGTGTGGGCGTTACCGCCCGGCTTGCCTTCATAACAGCCACTAAGCAACCCACCAAACCTGCAAGTCAAGCAAGACTGAGTGCAAGTCATCCTGACTAAATCATTTTTTTTAATAGTTGCGGGGAGTGTATTATTGTCTGCTATATTAGATTGCAGTTGCAGCAGTAGTCAGTGAAAGAGTGAAAGCACCTGCTTACGGGCACATCTTTCATCGCATCAAACACTGTGTAGCAACTTGTGAGCTAGCTGCCGAAAACCACATGGATCCCCAAAACACCGACACGAACACTGAGGCGAAGATGTTGTTGAACCACGCCAAGACGCTCAGGCTCCACACCGGGAATTTAGTCAACCGGAGTCGCCTGAAAAAGAAATGTCCAGGCTCTCCCAGCGAGGAGGTAAGACAGCCTAAAACTGCGTAAACTAAACGTCTAATTTGAAACGACGGCAGTTTACTGACCATGGTAGCTTATTAGCTTAGCCTGCAAGTTAATGTTAGGCTACCTGGCTAAATATTTAACTGGCTAGCGATATCGGTGTGTGTTAACCGATAGTAAGGTATGTGTAACGTTGTATGAGTCGTCTATAAAGATAAAAAAGACAGGAATCATTTTAAAAAGAATTATTTTTGATTGTACTTGTCGAGGTCCGTAGTTGGAGACTTATATCTAAGCTAAAGTGGACTAGCTGAGCTGTTAAAGTGTGTCCTGTTTATGTCAGACATGTAAGTAACTTTATGATCCAGCCCGAGGCGAATAGTTCAGATAGTGGCTGGAGATGAATGATTGTTGAAGGCTATTGACATAAAACTAGACCCAGAAAGCTAAAACAGGTGATCTACATCACCTGCTGGCAGATCCTCCACTTACACTGTGTTTTCTATCAGTTTTGCCATGACAGCACTGCCAGCACTTAAAATGCAGTCAAAATCTATTGAGAGGAACAAGTTTAAGATTGGAACTGAAACTTTTTTTTATGAGTCCGTGTTGTTTTTTTCCTCTGACCCTAAGTTGACACATTGCTAGTTTTGTCCAGCTGTCAGTCTAAACCCCAAAGATATTAATTTATTAATAATATTAATACAGTGATATGAAACAGAAAAATAGCACATATCTTACATTTAAGGAGCTGGGACTAGTGGATGTAATATATAAAATATTTGACAATTTTTCTTTTATTTTTAGGAGTGCATATATGTTAACGGTAATATAAATGTGAAGCAGTTTTTTCCTGAGAGGATCTGGTTAGACTTGTCACATTTTTTATGATTGCTTTAGAGAACATACCATTCATTACTTTAAAGTTTAAAACATTTCAGTTTCCCTCTGACATGGTTGTAGTTTGGGTACAGTGCGGTATGCTGTACCTGCCAAACCTTAATCCAAAATTGAGTTTGTAGTTTTTAATAGTTGTATTGAAGTGAAGGTCATGATTAATTAAATGTCTTTGCCACAGGTTGATTTAAAAAATAATCAGAACACAGAAATTGAGCTTTATACTTAAGAGTAGATGTTGGGGTCATCACAGATATATATCTCTATTGGCATGTAGTATGTGATTATGTATGTGGCTGACATACAACAGCTGCATATAACTCAGAAAAATGCTATAGAGAGTGATTTAGAAACATGGTTACAACATTCATTCATCTCCTCTTGCAGCATTACCTTCCTCTGTTTCAGGAATTTGCAGTCATGATACATACATGTCATACAGGATTCTGTAAATACTGTTCACATAAATATCATAGTCATAGTTATGACTGACAAGCTTAGATTTTTCTAAAGGTTCAGATATGATATATATATATATATATATATATGTGATTCTTCACTTAAAAACAAACTTATATCGTCCAAAGCTCACAGTTCAAGTTAATTAAACCCAGATTTAATGGAAATAGTGCTTCACTGTCCCTCTTCTTTCTTTCTGCTGAGCTCCACATCTACAGGTTTTGGTGTGTTTGCCATTTTCTGCTGGTGCCAACACTCACATCAACATTTCTGACTCATTGATACACTTCTTAAACTACTGATGCAGCTGGCTCTCATGCCCCATTCTTATCCCTTTGTAAATAGTTAGGCTATCACAGGAGCATTCACTGGTGCTTAAACTTGTCTTAATTTCTCTTCTTGTTCCACACTTGGAATCGGTTTGTGAAATTGTGACATTATGAAGTTGGTCCAACTGATTCCATTGTTTATAATACACCAAGGCATATGACTTGGCAGAGCAGCTTTCCAGATGCTAATGTGGCATCTGCTGAGAATAAAAAGCTTTTCAGCTTCAGCTGAGTTTTAGGGATCTTTCTTGAAAACTTTGCATGTTTTATGAATTTTAATTCAATGTCATGTTTTTCTATTTGATATTCCAGCTTCAAGACTGCATTCAAGCCACACTGAGTGACTGGTTTTCCATGACAAAGGCGCCGCCCAAGGTGGGGAAACATATATAGTTTTCTAAATGTTTTCATGTAGAGCTGCTCATTGTGGGAGTGTAGTAGTTCACCTAATTCAGTTCACCTAATTCAGTTTCTCTAGGTGTAGTAGTTCACCTAATTCAGTCTCTCCTATATTCTGAAACCATGGCGTGTATGTAGTGATTACAGTGACAAATGAGCACAATAGTATTTGCATTGACAGTTATGGCCAGACCTGCAGTTACACAACAACGTGTTACTATGCTGTCGAGCAGTAGGATTCCAGTGCTTAGGAAAGTAAAATAACTATAGTGATAGACATCAAAGGATGCCTCTAGGCTTACTGAAAAGAAGCTGTCATGATGAATGTTCATGCAGTGCTGGCTGCCAAAGGCGCCATTCCAAATGTGTGTCTGTCCGTTGGGCTGGGTGGTGGGTGAAGGTGGGGGTACAAAAACTTTGCTCTGGGGTTTTTGTCCATTAACTGTGGTACGATTTCTAGAATGTGAAAGCCATGAGATAATTTGCTTTCGTCAAACTAAAATGTTCTGAAAATCTTGAACTCATGATTAAATAGGCTGCAGGATCCAACGTAGTTAACGACCATTTCTGCTGAACACTCCCCTGCTCTGGCTGTTTTTGCTAGGCTCAGCTAATCTGCTTCAGCTTTTATCACCACGCCCACTGGACTCAGGGGGATGGGGGAGGTTTGAAAGAGTTGAACTCAGGGGTTTTAAATACTTGAAAATACAAAGCTTATAAGACACATCCCCTGCAGGAAAATGGGAAGAATGGGATATTGGAATCATGGGCTCTGAGTCCTCCTCAGGTTGTGTTCTTTAATGCTGTGTAACATGTCCATATCATAAAGCTCAGCACTTTCCAGTGTTTGTGTCCTGCTGTACTAAGCCTCTCTTAGACATACACCAAGTTATGTAAATGTGATGGAGATTAACACATTGGTCTCATGTCTAAATAAGCAGTCTCAACATCTCAGTGACAATTTTACCAGCTTGTAGTTACATGTCTATATTATTTGCAACATGGTACAAGTCTGAATTGAATGTCATCAGAAAAACAGACCACAACAGCACCAAAGGGGGGTGTTTCTTAATGGTAATTTATTAAGACTTTGATTGCAAAATAATGCAGCCTGTGAGGGGAAAAAAACATTCTTCTCTCTTCATAACTTTTAAAATCAGAGCTAGTTTTCTGTGGCGCTCATGCTCCCTCTGGCGCAGCAGATGCCAAATATCATGCAAGCATTGTGGCTCTCACCTGTCTAAATAAAGCCCTAAGCAACATTTATGTAACAAAATCACGTTTGAATAACAAAGTTCCCAATTTTAAAGATGGGTATTAGGAGGAGTGTTATATATTTCATATAACACTAAAGTGCTTTTTTTGTCCCATAGGACTTTCCAGATACACTGGACTGCTCCATTCCCCAGGAAACAGATGCTATCACACCCGAGGAGAGGGAGGAGGTGAAGGTTTCAGGTCAGTGCCTTTTTTTTTTTTTTTTTTTTTTTTTTTTTTTTGTTGTTGTTGTTGTTGTTTTTCCACGTAGCCTACAAAAAGAGCATTAAATGTACAGTATAAAGTAGTACTTTGAATTAGTTTAATGCATTTTACTTGTCCCGATCAAAGAAGAATTTAATATATACTTAATAAACCTGTTTATTTAACATCTAGAATTATTAAAAAATTCTCTATTAACCTAAGTGTCACCAAGAAATGTGACTGACGAGGCGTTGCACATCAGTGTCTGTTTTTGCACTCTCCACATCCCTGCTTCAACCTGATTTATTTTCCTGTTTTTGTAACCTGTCTGTAGTGCAGTGTAGTGATTTACTGTGTGTTCAACAAGAGTATAGCTGTCAGGGTTTCCATTTATTTTCCTCACCTATTCAAAGGACCTCTGATCAAATCATTTGTAAAGAAAATTCAGTGGGTGACTGATTGATCAGAGCATCCCTACTTAATGACTGGCTGAATAAGGAATGAATAAATTAGGAAATAAGTAATAAGTGGTGCCAATGATTTAAATACAACTAAAGTATGTGGTGGACGACATGGTTATGGTTGTCTTGTTCTTGCAGTCAAGCTCTTCCTGTGTGAGTCGGTTCAGTCCTCAATCAGAGATGCAGTGGAAATGGGTGAGTTAAAAGTTAAATGTGCCTCAAAAATTACACAGTTGTGAAGCTTCTTTTCATTTGATCTCTATGCATGCTACAGCCTTGTTTGTCTCTCTTCACCAGCCTGCCAGACACTGACAGTGTCCCAGCTCGACTCTGTTATAATAGCGCCACCTGGGCTCCTGGAGGGTGACAGCCAAACTTTGGCTCACCTTCAGCCAGCCTGGGAGGAGCTGGAGACCCTGGTCAGGAGCCAGCGGATTGCCGCCATTGGCACCTCTGACCTGGACAAAGATCTGCTGGAACAGCTCTACAACTGGGCTCAGGTCAGTGGGAATCTTGTGTCTGTGATGCTTAGTTTGTGTCATCTTCAGAGGCAGCAGTGATAATAGGGCTGGATGGTACCTTTTCTGTTGAGTTTTGGCCAGTGTACCACTGGCAGAGCTGATCCATGGGTCATTTTCTGTATTGAATCAATTGAGGCAGGTCATTGACCATGCTCCCTCTCTTGGACCAGGTGAAGCCCAGCAGTAATCAGGTGAACCTGGCCTCCTGCTGTGTGATGCCTCCTGACCTGACAGCCTTCGCTAAGGAGTTTGACATCCAGCTGCTCACACACAACGATCCCAAAGGTGAAAGAAACTTTTTTCCGCCAGTCAGATGGGTTTGATGAATTTTTGGTATCAATCCAGACATGCACCTTATGATAATTAACGTATTGATAGTGTGTCCAAGATCAAGTGCTCTTAATCCTTGGTAAAGCATAAGAATAAGTTTGATATTCTGTTCTTTTTATTGACAAAAGACCAAAACCAACAATGAATTGTTCCAACTAACAAGTTGTGACATGTCCCTTCAGTAACATGAGCATGGGAACTGTAGATTATTTTAAGTCAGTCTCACTATCTAATACTGATAATCCTTAGTAGCACTCAAATGTGTATTAATCCATGGTTACTCCTGTTACCAGTAAGTAGTAATATAGTATATATATAGTAGTAACATTCGCTAAAAACTACACTTCCCAGCTGTACTAGGAAATTACTGAGACTTTTAAAAAGGTAAAAGTATATATCTGTGATCCATATTTAAAGATTTACTTTCTGCACATGAATTTTGGGGCTGAGAGCAGCAGACAGGGTAGAGAAGTCAGAAAATACTGAGAAATGGTTTTAGTAGTTTTATTGCTTTTGTTGACAATAAGAATATTATAGAAAAACACCAGCTTTATCCTTTTTAAGCTTTTTCTGTTAATAAATAAATGAATAAAAAATAATTAATGCATTGTAGTCAGGGTCAGCTGCAGCATCAGTGGTTCTTATTTTAAGGGTTTTGCATAGTGTAAGCTGCATAGTTTACAGTTTTTCCCCTCTCTTCCTGCCCTCAGAGCTGATGTCAGCAGCCACCTTCCAGGAGGCAATGCAGGAGGGAACACAGGACCTAAAAATGGCTGACTGGAGGCTGGAGTGGGTCCTGCGCTACTCCATTATTGTCAAGAGCAGGGGCATCATCAAGTCTAAGGGCTACCTTGTCAGCGCAAGGAAGGCGACCCCCTAGCACACCTCATTAGAGAAGAAGACACAGGGATGAAGCCATTTTCCTCCTTTTTCATTCACCTACACACACAACATGCAAAGTAACAGCTTTGAATACTGGACGTTGCCAATCAAAATGAGTCTTGAAGTAATTGTTTTATCTTACAGATAAGAGTTCACCCTCATTGTGTATAATTTGTTTAGTTTATCAAATGCAAGTATTCATTGCCATCATCTCAGTGAGATCAAAAGTAGGAAATGAACATGCAAGATCAACCCCAGTGTCAGTTTTGAGAGAAAAGACTGTGAAATAGAGAGTTTCACAGATGGTGGCTCTCTCCATGACCAGTATGCTGACAGATCAGCCATTTATCAACACAGTAGAGGCTGCTCTTAACTTGGATCCAATGTGAAGGTTCCTTAACCTTGCTCTGATGTGAAGTGCCTCTCATCTTTCACTCCTTCTATCCTCATACCTGCTTTGTCTCCACTGTGTTTGTGTGAATCAAGCTTTAAATATGTAGGTCTGACTGAAAAGATTGTGATAGGTAAAGCAGAAGAAAACGGTAGAAATCTCTTGTTTTTAATACATTATTATTCCAAACATTTTGAAAGGTGAAATGGAAATCTATCTACTATGAAAAAAGTCTGATATTACTCAGTTTCGATTTGTTGCTGCTGTATATAACGCCATTTGCATTCCACAATTAAGAAAAATTATGCACTAATTCAAACCCAACTACATACAAGATGTGTATTTTATGATGCAGATTGAATTAGATTTCGACTGGCAGAACTATGTGAGTATGTATAACTCTATTTTATCATGTTTTTTTCTAACCATGAGCTCTTTTTAATGATGCATTGAAATGCCCCCCCCCCCATGCTCATGAGATTAATTTGAAAGTAGAGCAATATTTTGAGGTTGGCATAAACACAAGGCTGATGTCATCTATATGTTGTTATTATAACACTGAAAACTCTGTGGCAAGGAAATGAGAAAAATAGTTAACTCTGAGGAAGCTGTTTTTATTTATGAATCATGCTTGTTTTTCCATACAGGGTCCAGTAAATCTCATGTAGAATTTTCTGTTCTACTGTAAACATATTTAATGTTGTCATATATCTGTATATCATGAATTGGCTTTATTAAAATGACAAAATACACGTTTATACTTTGTACTGTCAACACTGGTGTAAATCATTTGAAATATGTGTATTTAATAATACAATCAACATTTTGGTGTCACAAAGGAACTTGACCAAAAAAATCTTAAATGGTAAAAATGACAACATTTCACAAAGATCCTGTATTTGCTGATGAGCTGAAGACTAACTCCAGCTTTGTTGAACTGTTTCACATTCTTCCTGAGGCAGCAGGCTTTTGAACCAGTTACACTGAACTCACCAGGCCCTGATTTACGTAAACTAAATAATTTCGTCCTGCAGAATATGTGATGAAATCTAAATCAGAAGTTATTAAAAAATAGTTTGGTTTAGTGCCACCGAAGCTCTCAGCTGAGTCATAAGCATGCTGTGAAATTGTTTAATCTATACTTTGGTTATTTTTGATTGTTCAGAAATTATTTATTTTTATTGTTATCTGAAAGGTTGTGCTTCACAACTGAGTGTATTCATGGACGGATTTCATTTTGTAGTTTCTTCTTTAGTGTCTCTGTGAACATTTTGCGTCTCTTTGCAGACACTGTCCACTGTGAGTTTTAGACAGAGCTGCAGCAATTTTTTTTGGGTCATTATTTCATAATTATTTTCTATCAATATTCCTTTTTAAATTATCCAGCTTGGTCTAGGGTTATTTCTAATACACCTTTACTGCACTTCAGAGGGAAATATTTTACCCTACTAAGTTTATTTGATGGGTATAAGGGCTGCTTAGGGCCCCAAGAACACTTGAAATGCCCCAAGAGATCTTTTTACATATTTTTAACACTTGGACCGCCAGCTTTCTAGCACCTCTGCCAGAAAATCATATATAATTACATCGTTTGGGCTTTAAAGCAGTTCTGCTCAAGCAGTGGAAAAAATGGATAAGTGCTACTTTACTTGACTTGGAAACTGTTCGTTAGTTTTAATATTTATTAGTTTATTTGAAGGCTACAACTGTAATGTACTATCCACTTACCAATTAACTTTTTTCCATGTTATATTACGCATTGATTAATTTAGTGCTGCTGCAAGTTTTCTATCCAAATGGACAATTTTCTCTGTTTTACAGTGCTGAAATACAAAACTATAGATATGTATACTATGGTGTTTGATGCCTTACTATACTATGACGTTTTCATGACATTTTATGCCATAGTATACTATGGTGTTTTTATGACATTTAATGCCTTACTATACTGTGATGTTTTCATGACATTTTATGCCTTATTATACTATGATGTTTTTATTACATTTTTTGCAATTCTATACTGTGAGGTTTTTGCCTAACCATACTATGACGTTTTTATGACATTTTATGCCTTACTATACTATGACGTTTTTTTGACATTTTTTGACTTACTATACTATGATGTTTCTATAAAAAAAAAATTCCTTACTATACTATGGCGTATTCATGACATTTTATGCCTTACTATACTATGACTTTTTATGCCTTACTATACTATGACTTTTTATGCCTTACTATACTATGACGTTTTTATGACTTTTTATGCCTTACTATATACTGACTTTTTATGCCCTACTATACTATGACATTTTCATGACTTTTTATTCCTTACTGAACTATGTCGTTTTTATGACTTTTTATGCCTTAATATACTATGTCGTTTTTATGACTTTTTATGCCTTACTATACTATGACATTTTCATGACTTTTTATTCCTTACTATACTATGTCATGTTTATGACTTTTTATGCCTTACTATACTATGACTTTTTTTGCCCTACTATACTATGACGTTTTTATGACATTTTATGCCTTACTATACTATGACTTTTTATGCCTTACTATACTATGTCCTTTTTATGACTTTTTATACCTTACTATACTATGACTTTTTATGCCTTACTATATTTTTGTCGTTTTTATGACATTTTATGCCTTACTAGACTATGATGTTTTTATAAAATTTTTTGCCTTACTATACTATGACATTTTCATGACTTTTTATTCCTTACTATACTATGTCATGTTTATGACTTTTTATGCCTTACTATACTATGACTTTTTTTGCCCTACTATACTATGACGTTTTTATGACTTTTTATGCCTTACTATACTATGACTTTTTATACCTTACTATACTATGTTGTTTTTATGACTTTTTATGCCTTACTATACAATGTCATTTTTATGACTTTTTATGCCCTACTATACTATGACGTTTTTATGACTTTTTATGCCTTACTATACTATGTTGTTTTTATGACTTTTTATGCCTTACTATACTATGACTTTTTATACCTTACTATACTATGTCGTTTTTATGACTTTTTATGCCTTACTATACAATGTCATTTTGATGACTTTTTATGCCCTACTATAGTATGACGTTTTTATGACTTTTTATGCCTTAC